TGAAGAAACAGGAACATATCAAGAGATGATTTATAAACACTCATGGTAAAAAGATTGATCGGCCAATATATTAGTTAGGACAGAGTTTTTTTCCCTCCTTTTTAAAAAAGGGGGATGTATCTAATGAAATTTGCATCAGACAATTTTTTGCTTTTCTACAACATTGTAACTTTATATGCAATTTGATGAAAAAAGGATCATATTCTTTGCAGCATGCAATACAGAAAAACTGGATCCTGATCTGACATTTATAAACAATTACAAGAGCTAGACATACATAAGAGTGTAAAGATACAAGAAACAAACATTATGGGGACCTTCTAATCCATATGCTACACTTATTTCCTGGCACTAGTACAGCAATCACTGTCACAAGCTCACAATCACAAGCCTGAGAAAAACCACATTATGAAGGATTGTCAGAAAAGAAGACAAAACACATTGTATGGCTCTAGTTTGGATACGTGACAAGAATACTAAATATGGGAGATGTAAGGAAATTGTTTTTCAAATTGTTGTTTACTTTTTAAGAGTTAGCACACATGAGATAGTTTTCATTCTTCCCACCCCTCAAAAAAAAAAAAAAAAAAAAAAAAGAGAGAGAGAGAAAGAAAAATGCTACCTAAATGTTGTGGATGGCAAGCAAAAAATTAGGAATGACTATGTTTCCAAGTATGGATATGAGAACAAAATGTGAAGGAAACTCCTGGTCAATAACTTCAAAAGCTGTCAGGAAGACTGAAATTTTTTAAATCTACATAATCAAGCTCAGAAGGAGAACAACACTTGGTCTCAGGGCAACACAGTTCATTCCCTTTGATGAAAAAAGGAGTGATGGATTTCTTTTTAGCTTGGTTGCAACTTACAAAGTGACTTTCTTTTTGAAAAAGTATGATTAGAATGATTTAAAATAAATTAAAAAATGAAGGTTTGAAAAATAGAGTACTTAGTTTCTGTGCCATGTAACCATCAATATTGATATTTACCTTGATAAGAATAGGATGTTTCCATATGCTTACTCAGTGTAGAAAAATCAGTGATCACTGCTCAAGGTAAAGAACTGCCTAAAAACTCAATATTCTATTTATTCAGCTTTCTGACACATTGGTAAGTTCAGCCATTTTGCATTTAGCTCACAACATATTCACACCAAGAAAACAACAATGCTGATATTTAAGTGGTACAGAAAGTAAGAGATGTGTCAAGCAAATGCGTTGTCACATTTTTTCCACCAGAGGTGAAGTGAGCTCTGCCTTGTAGATCATTTGCTACATGGATGGACTGCTGATGAAAGGTTGCCTTAAAATCAGCCTTCTGGAGCATATAGGCTGGAATTCTCCCAATTCCACATGAAAGATGTGAAAATATCACTAAATACCAGGCTCATACTTTCTGAGACATCTGTCAGCCAGACCTTTCATCTCATCTGGGATAAACTGTTTGAAATTGCACAATAAACCAGACACAAAACTGTCATCAATTGCCTCTGAATGTCTTTGACAATGTATGGGAGTTCATATGAATACAAGAAGGTATCAGGAATTTTTCAGGTGAAACTATTACTTTTCACACTATTGTGAGCAAGATAAAGCTAATTCCTCTAGCCCAATCACACGTAATCCATTTTTCATGAGATACGGTGTCAAACTTGTACTAAAAATACACCATTGCTCAATAGGCATAAACGAAGTAAAGTGAAGATCTTTGGCAAAGACTAGGGTTTTCCCCACGCTGTTTAACAGTCTCATCTTCCACTGAGCACTGGGTACACTAAGTTTATAATGAAGATATTAAACAGTTATTTAAGGAAGACTTATGCCAAATGATTTATTGCATTGTGATATTTGCAAACAGTTTAAGTAGGTGATTGCAGACTAGTCATTTTGCAGAATGTTAGGTAATACTGAATAAAATCATTTTGACTGAAATCTACGTAACAGAATAAGAAAAATCCAAACAATGACCAAAACACAAAATAGTGAACTATTCAAAAAACTTTTGGACAAGATTTAATACATTTATATCAGTTTGCAATAAGGAAAGGTTTTTCTGCCCTTCTCTGTCATTTCATTCACCCTATACAACAGTGAAATCTACAGTGCAAAATGGTGTCCAAATGTATTTCTCTTCCTTCACACCCCAGCATATGGGATCTCTTAGCCCAGCAATATGTACTCCTCCCTACAAAGTTGTTTGAGACACAACAGATAGCCACTGATATCATGTGTCATTATTTGGCTCTGCTTCAGCACTATGCTGTAAAACACTGAGGCCAGAAAGGAAGGAATAGGAAGTACTGATTGTTCCAAGTTTCTGTGACTTGTTTCTGTAGAAGTAGAAAGTCCATGTGATCTGGTATTACCCAACTGCAAAGAACGAAACAGCTAAACATACACGAAATAGGCAACCTGGTACTGACTAGCTAATCTGGGCAATCAAGCAGAGTGTATGCCTGTTATAGTTAAGCCACACATTTCTCACAATCAAAATCTTCAGCACAGACAAGACCTACACTTGAAAAAAAAGAAAATAAAAAGAAAAATATTACCAATATTATAGGGTGTAATTCTAGTTACAGTCATCAATCTTAAACATTGAAATGTTCACTCACTGAACAAAGGATATTCTTCACAGATGCATACATTGTAAATTTATCGCACACAGTGCTCTGTAGAAAACAGATGATATTTTTCAACACAAGAAGCTAAGGGCTTGAGTAACTTATTTGACCTCAGTCCCTAGTTCAGCCTTTGGGCATGCTGTGCAAATTAAAATGTCAGTTCATGGTTCACCTGTCATCATCTGATCCTAAACACTTCCTGAGAATTTCTCCCTAAACCCATGTTTTATTTCTTACCCAATAAACTCAACAACAATTTGGGGAAAAAAAAAAGAAATGAAAAAATATGTGGCAACACCAGAGGGTGATACAGTACAAATCTTTCTGAAATCAGCTGGGCTTTTTTTTTCTGTCTTCTCCACCCCTTCCTTTTTTCCCTGGCCTCATGAGTACCCACTCAAATGTGATTATCTTGCTGACAGACAGACGGAACAGAATTGTCTATGTAGTTTTCAGTTTAGTAATTAAAAAACCCCAACCAAACAAAAAACTATTACAAGATTATTTGGGGCGAACAGAGTGAAACAAGAATGGTTCAACTGAAATACAGTATGTAAGACTCTGGCCTACTGGCTGAATAATTCAAACCAGGATATTTTCCTTCTTTAATATATGAACAGATACTTCCTTCCTGTGTGAAGTAATAAAACCTTCAACGTTCTGCTTTTTATTATTTTAGAAAGAAGCCAGGGATCAGAGAACATCAACTAATGAAACTGTTTTGTATATATATTTCAAATTAAAATGAAAAAAATCCTAAAATTTAAGCCAGGTCTCTATGTTTACACACACACACACACACACACACACACACACACACACACACACACACATTTCCTGTCTACTGAATGATTCTTGGGAGTCCTGCCTCAGCCATTTCACGTACTCTTAAATAAGGCAATAATTCTGAAAATGTATCTTAAAATAGTTGCTGAAAGGGACAAAAAAAATAAAATTACCCCAAGTCATCAAGTCATTGGTAACAATTTCATACAAAGTTCAGCTATTTTGTACGGAGAGGGGTTGGCAAAAGAAGGCCGATAATCAGATGACCAAAGACTGATCAACTTTAAACTGCGCTGATGTTAAACCAACAACATCTTTGATTTCATAACTCAATATAGTCAATACAAACATGATTATAAACAGGACCTAGTCCTGCCAGTACAGCAGTAGTAGGGCTATCGCATCAATCTCCTTTGCAAAATTACAGTGGAATATTGACAAACGGCTCTTGCAAAGACACAGCAGCTGAATAAGCACATTCAGAGACAAGGGTTCACAAAAAAAATCTCAGTCATATCATAGGTCTCAAATGGCCACACTGCTGTCAGTTTTCTTTGCCTTACCTGAAAGTATTAAAAAAAAAAAAAGAAAAAAAGGCAGCCAACGAATGCGAACAATTAGACAAAAAAGTGCTCCAGACAAATATATAGGTAAGTCATCAACAGCTGTCTTACTATTTACTGTGCATACTGGGTCTAGAACTTCCCATGTAGACTGTCTTTTGAGGCTATAAAAGATAAAGTTCCTTTAAAGTTTCTTTTCCTTGTTTACTGAATGGTAATATTGATTCTGTAGACATTTTTATTTTTTACTTAAGTATAGCTAAATGCAGTTTTGAAAGTGACAGTACTCAAATTCCTTCAGAGCCTACTTTTATTTCTTAGAATGGAAACTTCTTATCGAATTTCAATCCTTTTGAAACTTAAAAAAATATTATTAACTCTATGTAACTTGCAAAAATCATTAGTGATAATGTCTGGATTTTGTGCACTATAGAGTTTCTAAGGGTGGGGTTTGTTTTTTTTTTTCTGATTTAACTGTACTTCTCTTCATAATTTACTTCCGTAATCACCCCTGTGATCTTTTTAGCACAGGACATATAAGATAAAAGAGATAAGCCTGTTTCACCTCTGGTTTTGGGGGTGTGTGCCTTTTACTGGAATACTACAACACTGAATCTCAGTTATATTATCTATATTTTTAGTTATATTTCTGTTCCATTCTATCATGAAGATGAACAAAATGCACACTAAAATATTGTTGACATTAAAACCTGCTACTAAAATACTAAAAACATAAAAATTTTGGAACAAAATGAGTTGTTTCCTTATTCTCATTTGATTGCACTTCAACTGTAGAAATATATGGGGTTCTATGACATGAATAGTACAGTAACTATCAGAGCATCTCAAAGATAAGGAATCAATTAATCCATGACAAATACATTTAAATCAGCTATATATGTGTAAATGCTTCTTTATTTCTGGACATCCAACATTTAATTCTAGCTTTGGTAGTCCTTTCTTTTAATTCCAACACCTACATGATTGCTTAAGGGGAATAATGAACATTTTATCCTAATGACAGTGCTTACTTCAGAAAAGGTGAAAGCATCCACATTTATTTCTTCGTATTCATCCTCCACTTCATCACTTTTAACAGCTGCAAGAGCACTGGCCAGTTTCTTTCGCAAAAGAAAACCCTTCCAAAATGCCTAAACAAAAAATTTAAAGCATGTTATGCAAAGCCATAGATCAAACCCAAATCCAGATTCTCTATGTTATCCCATTAGGAAGATAAAACATCTTGGGTCTTTGTTTAATAGCTCAATGATCTGTTTTTTGAACTTTATGTGACATTTAAAACTACAAGACAAATTAAATGCCAGCATATGTCTAAAGCTTAGAGTACTCAAGAGGCTCTCCTCAAGTAAGCAGAAAGGAATCCTGCAACTCCCTCAACTACAAACCTGGGTCAACTAATTAATTATTTGACAATTCCTTCAGGGACTATTATAAACTGAAAGGAAAGGCTACATAAGAAAAACCTGAGTGTCAACTTTCAAATCACTGAGAATAAAAATACAGTTGTACTAAATGTCTTACAGTTTACAAGTAGCAATTCTTGGAGACATCTCATGCAATTGACCTAGGTCAGTTACTCTTTCTTAACTGCCTAAGATCTTTATTTAAAAAAAATATTACCAGTAAGCATAATCATCTCAAAGAAAAAGAATTAAAGCGCTAGAAAACGAGGAAGGTTGTTAGGAACACATGGCAAGCACAGAATCAGATCCAGGAAAAACACTTCAGTGATCACAATTACATGGATGGAGTTAAAAAAAATAAATTCAAGACAGCAATTTTCTCCAAAATCTGTGTTTGGCATCCCTAGAATTCAAGATGTCCTACACATTTAAAACACACTGTAAAATTTTTCACTGTTATGAAAGAAGTGGTCTTGTCCATCTTTAATGGCTTCGCAATGAAGGCACTAAAATAGGAAGAGTAAACCTCATATTCTGGTTTAACATTTAGTTTATTAATTTTTAGAAAATGACTGTCTAACCATGTAAATTAACGAAAATGTTACCATTTTACACACATAAGTCCTGGTTTTTATAAAAATATTAAATGTATTAGAACTGCTTTCTTATAATTTCATTGTTATTTTTCCCACAGATCTTCATAAGCATCCTGATAAAATACCCTAATATTCCTGAGTGATCAAATGACAAATATATTTAACACACACAATTAGTTTTTACAAATACAAAGGAGAAAAGCAATCCTAATGATATATGCAGAAGGATAAACTGTAGATCTACAAAAGGATAAACACAGATCTATGAAAGTATCAGGTCAGTGCTCAGTCATGATGAGAGAAAAATTGCATGTTTGTAGTTTCCAAGAAACAAGAGGAAAACTGTCTTACTGTACAAATTCATTATATATCTGCCTATGGAATTCAGTTCTAGTTGCTTCTTTAAAAAAAAAGATAGAATTACAGAGTAATACAAAAAGAGACTAAACAGACTAAAATACTATTTCCCAAAAGTGTATATAAGGATGGATATAAGAGAGATCTAAAAATCTGTAACATGCTAAGAAGATGAATTATGACTTTATTTTCATACTCACTTTGGAAACCATCATGTTTGAAACAAATGAAAAGAAGCACATTAATGACTATATAAATGTGTGAAACTCATCAATTTAATATGTAGTAGAGGTCAAATATATAAGTTCAAAAAAGGATTAAATATTGAGATCAATTGTTAATATGCGAGCTACGTGATATACTCCAGTAACAAATTTTTGCTTCTAAATCACTGCCACTTCTGACATTTTAATATAAGACTTTTAATATAGAATGTTTCTAAGTTAACTTGAAATGAAAAAAAAAAAAAAAAGGAAAACCAACATAGGGTAAATTTCTTTCAAAATGTAGAAAAAAAAAATTAACCCTGGAAACGTGCCAGGTTACTACTATGTCTGGTTAGCAAACTAGACAGAATCAAGGCATGGACTTCAACTCTTGCAAATAGTAATTCATGCTATTTAGCTGTTATCAGCTCAGTATCTACCACAGGAGATGGCCTAGGCCATGGTCTTTTCCTAAGGGCAATATGGATGAAGCAATCCTGGGTTTTGGAGATGGGGAGAGAAGGAAAGAGATGGATAGGTAGGATAGAAGAGACAGGAAGAGTAGTCATGCAGATATCAGACAAGATGTATTACTCACGCAGCATCTGTCACTTTAATAGTACAGACATACCTCAGTAAGAACATGGGTACAATATCTCTTAGGCATAATATTAGAATTAAATCAAGTAAAAATAAGGAAAATATTTGGTGAAAATAGGGAAAATATTTTCATGTTTCTATAAAACTTTTTGTAAAGAAGTCTCTCTTTTAGAAACATCAAGTTTAAATTCATAAGAAAAAATAGAAGATAACAAGTACACAAAATGAGTAAGATTTTTTTTCTTATTTAATTTGTAAAATAAGTAAAGAGAATACCATAAACCAACCTGGATTACTGTGGCAGCTTCATGCTTCTGTCTCAATGCTTCTATATACTGATGATTCTCTGTTTTGTTGCAGTTATTTTTATTCCGAGCATGGTACTGCCGCCAAAGAGCCTGGATCACTGATGCTGCCATATGTAGTCTCATAGAAAAATAAATACTTTTATGAATGACACAGCCAGCACAACTGGATTATCATATCTGCCAAACTACAACCATAAAACATAGCACTGTGCTTTGAGACAAATGAAAAGTTCTGCCATTAAACAAGAAATTACAATCCAGATGTGACATATATGTTCAGAAGAACAGTCACATCCTATAACTTCTGAAATCCAATTATCTAAAGACTGATCTCTGCTGGGCTCTGTTCCACTTATAATCACTGTAGAGGAAGAGTCCTCAAAGGAAGGATTAGGAGCAGAACTGGTTTAACAATGACCGAATAAATTCTTGGAAGAGCCAACTTACTCCCACCACCTGTATAAAAAAAATAACAAAAAACAAAACAAAACAAAACAAAACAAAGAAGCAAATGCCAAGCACTAAAGAAAAAAATGCATGAGACAGATATTTCTAATGGAGCAGACAGGAAAAATGGAGAAAGTGCAATTTCATCTTTTTCCTGCTTTTCCCCTTTAATCTAAGAACTACTGACCACTAGTAATCCGTGTAAATTTTCTAATTTTCTCATTTTTTAACAAGCACTAATTACAGACTACTTAGATTTGTTCAGTGATTGAGATTTCTAAGTATATGTTCAATCAATTTATATTGATGCAGAAAAAGTTTAATGTCAGTCCTGCATTGTGACTTTACTTTCTTTACTATCTTGGAAGCCTTTTCTCCACAAAATACTAATTTCAATTGGACATTGGGTTTAAGAAAAGACATCTAAATTTTCCCCAATTTTTATATAATTTCTTTCCTTGTAGAGTACATCTATTTAAATAGAGGAGTACTATTCAGAAAAAAAAAAAAAAGCAGCACGCTTCAGAGGTCAACACATAATTTTTTTCCCTTAAATGTGTTTATTCAGTTTATCAACCTCAAAAAATGAATTCTTTATAAGTTTTGCATCTGTAGGAAGCATTAACTGAATTAGAAAAGCAAACACAAAAAGTGGTTTGCATTCTGTTTTGAAGAGACATCTCCAAAAAGACACTTACAGAATGCATTTAAAGCATTAACTAAAAACTAAATTAACTATTTCAAAAATAATCTTTTTAAGTATTCATCTTCTGCAGTAGACTACTGTACTCTTGCTTTCAACTTCCTGAGAGGTAATGATGAATTGCATGGTCTTCCTGAATAATAAATTTTATGACAAATTATTAGTGTTTTAAGTATCCACTAAGTACTATTGCCTATTTATGATAAGTCTAAACAGAACAAAGAAGCACACCCACCATTACTGCTTTTCATGGTGTTCTCAAGACATCTATTTTTGAAATTGAATTCTTATGAAATTGTAACTGAAGCCTTGACCCTTTAGGGTAAAAAGAATCAGCTTCTGTTTCCCCTGACTGTACATCTAAACCCATACAAATCAGCAGTAAACACATTCCATAGAAGTAATAAACCAGTGTGTCTCATATGGGAGAAAATTTAGGGGCACAGAACAAGTTGAACTGGCCTCTCACCCCTGTCTCTACTTTTAAGAAGCAGGTTGAGGTATGTTGGAGGAGTACCAAAAGGAGGGCAGGCTGCTGGCTCTTCAGTCATCACAACAGCAGGAGACAGGCCTGAGGTCAAGGGAGTAGGATGGTTGATTTAAGGAACTTTTACCTCTTGCTTTCTAAATAGTACTGACTGTAAAGTCTACAGAGATGAATCCTGAATGGTTAATGAACAGTATAGCAAAAAACCTTTATGCTAGTTTGTAGTCAAACTGCCCCAGAGTTTCTGGAGAACATCAGCATTTGCCTTCCTAACACTGCAGGTGTGTTTGAACTGGTGTCACAACATTATTGCAAAAAAAAGAAGGAAAATGAAGGAGACCAAGAGAAAGTTTTCAGATTCTCTTATTATACAGTATTTTTAAATTATTTGAAGTGCTTACATATCTATATTCTAATATACCAATTGAAAGAATACCACAAAGGATTCTTGTTAATATGGAAGCCTAGTGTGCAACACCTCAATATAACTCTTTATTGTCTGATAAGTTAAAAATATTATCTTACAAGTTCTGTGCCTCTGTTTTAAATTAGAAATCCTCACCCCTATTGTCTATTGTCTACCTGAATAATCTATTTGAGAGCAATCTGACATCTGTCTTACCTTTCCATATGATTCTCAAAATGCTGGACATTTCTTCCCATAGTACTTGCTCCTATCACTGATTGTTGTGATGTGACTTGGGCTGACATGTTATTGTTGCCTTTGCTCTCCCCACTGTAATTAATACAAGATTCAGTACTCTTCTGCTTCACTATCTGATCTTCTTTATTTTCCTTTTGGTGCACAGGTATGGAGGAGTTAATGAATGTGGCCTGAGTATCGCCAGTAGTAATCCATCTTTCGGAAGGATCCAACAAGACCTGTTTATTTTCCGTCACACCCATGATAAAGAGGTTATTTTCCTGTAGGCAGCCAGTGGATGTTTGCTCTAAATGATTTTGAAGTGCTTCTGGTCCATCTCTGTCAGTAACATATAGTTCACCGTACTCATGTGCGTATCGATGTTTAATACTAATTTTCATCAACTGATTAAAATACCAGCATTGTCCCTGTGCAGAATCAATAGAAGAGGCAATTCTGAAAAAAAGATAAAAGCATTTTTACATGTGTTTCTGACTGTAAGAATGCTTTAAAAAAAAATATATTCCCTCTATTATTTTCTAAAATACCTTGTATTTTCAAACATCCTTACATGTTTCCATATTCTTAAGGAAATAGCAATTATTCTGATTGAGAACTCATATTCAATACTCATAAATCTTAACAGCACTTGTCATCTTTTGGACATATTTAAAATATATTCATATAGATTTCTTATTTTATTTTGCCTTTTTCAAGAAAAATGTTTGTGGGGTTTTTTTAAGGTTTTTTTTCAAATAGGCACTAGGGCATGCATTTCACTATTAATTTTCTGTGTGGTTAGAGGCATATGAAGCCAAAACTTTTAGAGGATTTGAGGCATTTTTGCTATAAGTCCTATAACTGCCTTATTAATTCCTTATTATCTGGGAACTATGAAAGCTAATATAAAAATAACAGTAACTTTAAAATTTAGATAAGAACTAAACTAACCAAACCCAGACTCGTATTCAAACCAACAAACTACAATGCCTAGAAAGAATTTAGGAAAACAGAAACTTTTAACTATAGATGTATTTATCAATATAAGGGAAAGTGCTAGACTGAAGCAACACTAATCTATGAAGTCTGGCTCTCATTACTTCGTATTACACTCTGTAAAGGATGAGTAAGAGTAAATATGAACTATATTGTTACAGATTCAGATGACAGTCTGTCTTTTGGACAGTGTCCATTGTATTAGGTAGCAGGTACTTCTGGAATCATGAAAACATTTTTCTTCAACAGCATAGACAGATGCAGAGATATGTAATGTGGTGCTAATTTACAAGGAGCACAAAGTTAATTCTAGGACAGCAATCCAAGAGAAAAAGTAGAAATAAAATCAATTTTCTTGTGCGTCTGAAAAAATCAGGTCCTAAAATAATAATAAAATAATAGAATAACAGAATTTTCCTTCTTGTTCATCATTCTTGAAAGATGAAGCTTTTATAAGGTTTTACTGTGAAAAGATTTTTTACCATTATAATTATATCCTTTAATGAAGTTTAACTAAAAACATTTTAGATTTTTAAGAACATAGTGAATCAGATCTTACAAGGTCTTACTGTTAGTGAAACTTCAGTGCTAAAGGACAAAATCTGAATGGCTAAATTGGAAGCCAAATCCATATAGCTTAGGCACACAACTCATTGTGCAATAGTTGTACATTTGATTGTCCATTACACAGCATTACTCCTATTCCTGTTAGTTCCATAAATATGACAATTCCTAAAATATTTAAACCAATGCATATATTTGTTTAAGGATCTAACATACTATACACTAAGAATAGCAATTTCTTCAACAGAAAATACTTAAAGCATTAGTTAAATATTTTAGTTAAATACTTTTAATTAGTTGGAGTATTTAAAAAGATAAATTTGGTACAAGATTGTTACCATATTTGTACAAAAAATACTATGGTGAGAAAGAAAAAAAAATGAAAAAATTTTTTAAAAAAGTCCATGTCCACCTTTTTCCCCCTTTTCTTTGCTTTCTTTTGTTGTTTATTTGAAAATAAAATTGTTGTAGAAAACTCCAGAATGTTTTATATATTGGGCAAAATAAACTTTTGCATGAAAAACATAACCTGAGTATCCATGTTCATCCTCAAAAAAAAAAAAAAAAAAAGCAACAGAAAGAAAGAAAACCAACCCACCATAACAGTGAATCGAGTAGGATACTTGTGCATCCTCTCCTATGACATGTTTCAAGCACCTGTTTCACCCTTCCAGTGGCTACGAATATGTCAAGCAGAAATGGGAAGGCAAGTTGATGGGAATTGAAAATTCAGGCAGGGAGTAATTTTGTGGTCACCAGGGGATGTGTTACTTTTTTTCACAGAGGCTGCTTTTTCAGCAGTTTTCCTAAGCAGTGGTTGAAAAATACAGTCTTGTTGCTGTGGGCATGCACTCTCTCACAGCTAATACATCCCTGGCAATTTGCAACTATACATTGATTTTGTAGGATTTTTAGGCTGCCCTCTGTATCAGTGGCTTTCCTTTTAGGCAGTCAGATCACCTTAAGTTTCAAGAAACTACAAAGGAAGCTGAAGTGACATTTCAGAGAATTATAATCAATGAAGTGGCTTGGTAGCTGTGTTTGGGGTTCTCCTGCAAAGGTGAAGCTCCAAAGCACAGATAACAAATATTATCATGTGGCCTGAGTACTAGGCAGCAGTCAGCTGCTAAGTCCCTTAGGAAAACAGGGATTTCAGGTATCCTCTCAATGCACTGCAACTTTCTCAGTGTCTCAATGGACCTGCATTCTTGATATCTGAGACCTGCTCCTAAAGATTGCTTATTCAAACTAGAGAAAGGAAGCTGCTGTAATGGAAAATATGCAGGACTGGTTTACTTATTTAATAGTAAAAAAACCCCACACACAAGGAAAGAGAGAAGACAAAGTAAGAAATATGACAGCATTAAGACTTTTGATACCACAATATTTCCTTTTCAGTTAATGTAAATTCATTGTTTGCCTTTCAGACCTTTTTCCGTACTATCGGTCAAGAGGTCTGATCGCACTAAATCTTCTGGAATTGCTTCTTGGTTATGATACAACCAAGTTTTTAAGCATAAAGTGGTACCTAGACAAAACAAGAAATGGGATTATCTCATGGAAGTACCAGTATCCGGAGCCCCTGGTGGTCTAGTGGTAAAGGCGCGGCGCTATCACCGCGGAGACCCGGGTTCGATTCCCGGTCAGGGCCACTCCCGGGCAGGTGGGGCTCGTTAGCCCTTAAAGGTAACCCACCTACGTCCTGAGGACCTCACTGCCACCGTCCAAGCTTGCTTGGCCCCGGCAGATGAACCTTAGGATTAAAGGGTGGGCTCAGTTCCGCGCACACTGTGTCTCACCTAAAAAATCCAATGCGCAGGCCGGAAGGTGTAAAGACCTTCCCCGGATCTTCACTCGTGAAGACTGGCCATTATTATATTATATACCAGTATCCATAGTGTCTGACTGTTTAGTATGTAATGAAATGTAGATGAACATGGTGGTCTTGGTACAGCAAAATTTCTATGGCTTCCAGCTTTGACCAGCGCATTCCCTCATGTTCAATGGCTGATTGGCTTCCCACAGCTTTATTTTGATTCTAACAAGTGAAAGTAATTTATACCATATGCAAATTTTAGCATAACCACAAAGGATGAACTGCTTTTGTCGTGGGAGAAAAGGGGAATAAACCAGAACAGGAAAGGCTAGGTCTTTTGTAGCAATGTACACATGTGCTATAACAGTGGCCCTGATACTACCTAAAGACCAAGATATTATTTTCACAAACAAATGTTAACAGCAGAAAGCTACCTGTAGCTTTTTTTACCAAACAGATACCTCCCTATTTGTACTAGCATTTTCCAGGGACTTTGAGGAAAGATAAAACCATTAGAATAAAATTTTAATCTATTTGGAAATTGAAATGAGGCATTTCTTAACAACTGTTACAATTTCAGTCCTCACACCAATCCACCAAGAGTATCCATCACTGTCTTGGTTAATTTAGTCTGAACCCTGCTGAGTTTCACATGCAATGTTTGGGAAGGGAGGAGTAGAGGTGGAGAGAAGTAAATCCCCAGTGGCAGCACCTAGGAAGCATAAGGATCCATGCACAGGTTAACTTAAAAGACATGGAAAAGGACAAAGTTATTCATCTTTAAAGGCCTTTCAAGGGAGTTTAAATCAGCCAAAATGTTGCTACTTAGGAAGTTTAAGGTGGTGGTAGAAGCTTGCATATAGAGCTGGTATATTTTGTATAGAATTTCTTACTGCAATCACATCTGCAATGACTGCCAGGTTATTCAAAGAGCATAATTTTCTCAGAAAGAAACCGTAAGTCTTGAAAAGTCAGCAGAACAAATCTCTTGGAGGCAAGAGAGACAATGGAGAAACAAGCCAGTTCTAATCAGGAACGTCAGTTTCTCCTGGCCCTATCAGCTAAATCATAAACAATATTCTACCTCTTTGTGTATTAGTTTGTGTGCTAGTTAAAACTTCGTCTGATATCATGTTTTTCCCTTTGTGACTCTACTGTGATTTTCATAATTATGCTACATGAAATAGTCACATAGTACAATTTATGTGAGCTTGTGTTTGTTATAGTGTGGTAAAATCTAATTTGTCTTGAGTGAAGCTTCTATAAGCATCATTACTGATGTTCAATTGCAGCCTACTAAAGTCCTTTAAAAACACAGGAAAGAGGTCGCTGTTTACATACTCTCTCCTTGCAATACCATTTTCACTGTATTATACATAAAGGATTTATAAAGTTCAAGATCCATTAGCCAGACATCTGCATATCTCATGACTGAAAGCAAATTGCTGCAACCACAGTTGATTACTCATTACAAGTCATATAAAGAAAGTGTGACAAAAGCCATTTATTAGAATAGAGAAATTAAATTTTAAAGTAAGTTTTATTTTTAAGAATGGCAACAAAAGAGAAGTTTCAGAAACAGCACAGAGAATTTAACTGGGCAGCAGTTGTGTATGAAACATGAATTAGGGAAGCAAGCACTGATTACTTTTGGCAGCTTACATATTTGAGGTCACACCTACAGAGGCTTATAACTTAGCAAGATGTGAAACAGACAGAAGTTTGCTCTATTGTTGGTCTGCTCTTTAGCAATGTCACATTAATTCAGTCAAAGTATTGCAATATGTACATATAATAGTTATGCTGTTAAGGTTTATATACAAACAAGTTGTTTAGAGTTCCTTTTATGAATTGCAGTTTTCAATGGTTTTCAAGTCATCCGTAAATTTTACTTTGGTCAAAATAAAAGGGCTTTAACACATGAGAAATTAATTTTAAGACTAAATTTGATACAAGATGTTTCAACCATGTCAAAGTTACCAATTCAAAAGATTGTGAATAAATTCTCAAAATTTCAAAAACCCCACAACCCTCCCTCTTCCGTGCACCCTGCCTTCCCCTTCTCCACCCAAACCATATATTGCGGAAAGAAGAGATGTTTACATAATATCCTCTTTCCACTACTGTTCTTCTCAAACATCTGCAGGCTCTTTAAACAAAACCTACATAGAATCACAGAAAAATTCTCAATTGAAGGAACTCAGGAGGTCTCTAGTCCAACCTTCTGCTTCAAAGCTAGGTTAGCTCTCAGATCAGACCAGGCTGCCCAGGGCTTTATCCAGTCAGTTCTTGAAAATCTCCAAGAACAAGACTACACAACCTCTCTTGGCAACCTGTTGCATTTCAACACTGTCCCTAGAGTGAAAAAATTTTTCCTTATGTCCAATTTTATTGACTCTGGTTGGGATGAATTAATTCTCGTTACAGGTGTCCGTATGGTGCTGTGTTTTAGATTTGTGACTGGAACTAAATTGATAAAAGACTAATGTTTTGCTGAACAGTGCCTGGACAAAGTCAAGGCCTTCTCTCTTCCATTCAGCAAGTAGCCTGGGAGTGGGCAGAAGGCCTCCTTTCTTTACCCCCTTCCTAGGTAAAGAACTTTGCACTTGTCCTTGTTGAATTTACAAGGCTCCTATTGACCTGTATCCCCAGCTTGCCTTGTCTCCCCAGTATGTCCCTCTGACTGGTAGCTCTCCCCTCAGGCATGTAAACAATTGCCTCCAAATTTTTTGTGATCTGCGAGTATGATAAGTGTGCACTCCACCTCCTGCTCCCAGTCTTTGATAAAAGATATTAGATGTACAAGTCAGCATCCAGAAAGTAGTATAAGCCTGGTAATCAACTATTCATAGTTAATGGTTGGTCTGAGTCCGACTACTCAACAAGTTTCTTATGTATCTTTTCTACTCATGTCCATTCATGCAGACCATGGATTAAAAAAATATTAAATTTTATGAATATCATATTTCTCTCCCATTTTTTTACATCTTACAGAAATGTATGTGAAAGTTAGGTCCTCAGATTCTACTACAGTTCTCTCACAAGTCATATCCTAATTATAGATCAGCACTTTTTTCTGCAAGAGATAATGATGAAACTGGTCCTAAATATCAGATACAGAAAAATTTTCTCAACCATAAAGGAGGAGGAGTGATTTATTTGGGTTTGTTTTTTTTTTTTTTTTGGCCTCTTCTTTTCTCCTTTTAAGAAACATAAAGGAAGGAACACCATTTCAAGATGGTAAATAGATTAGGAAGTATCAGCTTCCACATGCAAACCAGAAGCCAAAAATTACATAAGTGGAGAAGACATATCTTGGAAGTTTAATGGAGAAATAAATGAGTTTTAGGAGCCATCTACACATTACATCTGTTATACAAAACTGCACTATGTAATTTCTCCCAAATGAATTTCAATCCAATTCGTAATCCAAACCTTGTTTCAAATTAGTCTGGTTCTGAGCTATGAAGATTTTATTGCAGCTTAGTAAAAGCCAATAATGCACCAAAGTAATAAACTCTTAGGTAGTAACAAGGTATCATGGATATACAGCCTTACATGCAAATACAAAACAACCATATTCTGAAAAAAATGTGGGTGCTTTTTCTGAACCAACAGAATATTCAAAGTTCAGACTAAAACACTGTCAAACATCACATGCTTCACCTGATCTGGGATAATGTTCAGTATCTGGCAGAATGAATAAAACTAGCTTTCCAAACATTAAAAGAAAAGTTGGATAGTAAAAGGACTATAGGGATATTGTGAACCTGATAGGAAATGAATAACAATTATGAAAGAAAAAAATATGCAATATTACCAAGTGCAGAAACATGAGAAGTTTGACCTATTTAGATATTACAAAACAATTAAAAGATAGCAGGTATAAGTGATAAATTAACACTTGCATGGTCTAAGCTGAAGTCACTGGATGACTAACAATGGTAATAGTTATAAAGGTGATTAGTACAGCAAAATCAAAGACCTGTAAACAGATCCATCTGATCCACTACCTTAAGAAAAAAGAGATCAAATTTTTTGCAATTATTTAGAATGTGAGTAATATACACATGGAAAACAAACACAGAAAGAAAAATAGAGCATATTGCACTAATAGCCAAACTACATTTAATTAAATTAAAGCTGGAAATCATGTTAATATAGTTATACAACTTTCAGGATTTAAGCTAGTAATCCTGCATAGCACTGTGTTGTGTTGTGTTGTATGTACAAATTCATTCAGCTACTACTAAATGCAGATTTTGAACAACCTGTTTTCTCAAATTTAAAGAAACAAAACTCAAGGCCCACATATCTTAATATCTGTCTAAAATAGACTTTGGACTGCAGTAAATGATTCTCATCTCTTCCTTTTCATGATACATTTCCAGGCAAAAAAAACAAACCTAATTAAATTCATAAGACATCAAGAACTTCACTAGCAGTACATGAAAACATATTTCTGAATGCAATTTATATTCATATTAATACATACTCCAATTCAGTAGCCTTTTTTTTCAGTTGAATATTTTCTTCAATTTGAAGTTGACAAAGTTCCAGAAAAGTTCTTAATTCTGATTCTTTGATTCTTTCAGTTGTTGGTAAAGTATGATAGGTTAAGATTTCATCATCAAGAGACTGTAAACTAGGAAGAACCTTAAACAAGGAAGATCTTAGAAAAAAAAAAATCATAATTAGTTCTACAAAAAATCCTTATGCTAAAACACCCATTTTATTGATATGATCAGATAACAAGACAGAATGTGAAGTTAGTTCTCTAAGTATTTACATGTTTTTCCTTATTTCATATGTTAACATACTAACTAAAACTTTATACTTAATAAACAACAGAACTCAGAATAAAACCCAGAACATTGCAAGACTTCTTAATACTTTGTTGGCATAAAGGGTACTGCTGTAATACTGACACCAGGAAAGTCAATGGCAACATTCTCAATTCACTAGAGCAAGAATTTTACCTACACAAACCATAACAGGAAAATTTGACACATTTGTGCATAGGTACCTGTAATGGGTTTGATTAGTAGGTAACATAGCAAACTAAGTCACAGGATTAAGACACCGCACTGATTTTGTTGACACATTGAAATGTTTAAAATTTAAAACTACACAAAATATTAGAGCTTGTCAATTCTAATCCCTTTACCATTTGCATTTAGTTCAGCGTGCTTGTAGCAAGCATGGATAGAGCCCTTCTCAAATCTTCGTTCGCGAAGCCTAGCCATGATGATAGCACATCTAGTGACATGATATTCAGTATGACTGACAGGAAAAAAATCCACTTTTGAAATATCGAATTTGAATCAGTGAAAGGAATGAGAGTAGAGATGACACTTCCTTGCTATAAAAAGGACAGCTGGGGCCACTGATGTAAGAAAAAATACGTATGAGAAACTTACCTACCAAAACAAAAAAAAGTATCGCCAATGCAATCTTGTTTGGGTTGTTGTGAAATGTAATCTAGTACTACAACCTTGTTTCTCATATTTCTTGTACAAGACCAAATTTGTTCAAAGTTTGAAGACTGTAAAATTATTTAAATCAATACATCATCACTCAATATTTTCATTAAGTCAACCTTAAGCAACACTTAAGAACTCTTGAAAGAATACTTATTGCAGGCTGTAAATCCTCCTCCTATTAAAAAACTGTTTTCAAAATTTTAAAACTCCCTGAGGATTCCCTGTGAAGGTAAAGGACTACTACTCAGCTCAGACAACATACACTAAGTTTAAAATCAGAGAAAGTTTCTATGGTTGAATTATAATATTGCAAATAACTCAATAGAATAGAATAGGTTTTTTGCAAATAGAAAACTGTCCTTCATTACTGCCCATTAATGAAAGCTAAGACTGTCTGAAGTATATTTGGAATAAAATGATGGGTTTAGATCAATAGTTCCTGAATATATAAAGAGAAATTACCAAAATTGATTTTGAATAGTGATACACCAAAAAAAGTGCCATATCAAAGTTGACCAGTGCTGGAAATATCGTGTCTTAGAGCTATGGGATCTCATCACTAGTTTTTCCAGCTGGGTTTCTCCTGGTGAAGGGCTGAGTAAACATTTCATTTAGTGAAAACTTCCTGGTGAATATTCTGTCAGTTAAGAGGCTCTATTAATCATTACAGTATTGAAACATATTCCCCTAGGAGTGCTCAGACTGATCCCAGGATTTAATTTTTAAAAAGAAATTTCTTACTACTTCATTTTTGTTGGTGTTATCGCTGGCTGGACATGAAAGTACAAAACTGATTGGGAAATTTTACAACTAATTCCTTTGTTGGTATCAAGGGGTTATGTAAAGTTCACTAGAACATACTGCCTGAAGTTACAGTCAATGCTGTATTCAGTAAATCCATATTTTATAGTATTCCATACTTTAAATCCTTTAGACAAATGACTCTCTTGTCTAATCATAAAAGCTCTACTGGGTTAAGAAATCTAAAGTGTCAGTTCTTAAAGTTAAATTGAAATTCAGAAAGCTTTTCCCTCCAGGTTACAAGTGAAATAAGAGTTAGTTCTTTAAAACAGTGGGAATTAAAACAATGCAAATGGGAATTTAAAGTATTGTCACAGTCACGGAATTTTATTAATGAAGTTACTTGCAGGAACCACGGGAGTGCAAATAACTCTTCATTAAAAACCAAACAAACCAATCAAGAATGTACTTATACAGGTATCTTTTAAACTACTCAAACATTCCCAACTAAAAGTTTTGAATAGTTTTTTTTCTACTGGAATACTAATCATAAATTTGTACAAAAATCTTCAAATGGAAGACGTAACAGTGGTTTCATATTCCTTTTTTTTCTCTTAGTACAATACACACTCCAAAACATACACACATATCACAAACTTTGTTGTCATTACATTAGGCAATCTAATAGAGCAAATGTGAACAGAATTTATCTAAACAGATTCTTGTGTAACATTGCAGTGTAAATGCTTACCTTTAACTGATCTGAAATTATACAAGTAACAAGTTTGATGATTCTTCAGAATTACTAGGAAAAATCATATTTTTCTAATAAGAAAATCTGTCATGTTTTAATTACATCCAAAATGAAAGCCCAACTGTTGTGTCTAACTTCATTTCCTCAGACATTTTATTTTGTTAACACTTTCGTAGGTAAATACTTGATTTCCTTAGCTGAAAGAATTGGTAATGATTTAAATTCTTACTGATTAAATGCTTCTTTTTACATTTTATGGAATTATAGTAAGAGTGTCACTAATAGACATTCTACCATTTCGATACACATAACAACACACAACATCACCTAAAAATCTAAAATTTCATTTCCAACTTGTATTCTGCTCTTGAAGACCTGTAGACTATAAAGTATTAATTCGAAGGAAGATGAAAGAACAAGGTAAATTAAAAAAGACACTACTGTGCTTTTGCTGAGTAATTTTCTCAGAGCAATTTTCTCAGACAGCTTGAAGTCCTCATGGCACTGGTGCATGAATGGGGTTTCAGATCACAAAATTCTTAAGAAACGAGGAGACATCAACAGGTGAATAGTGCCACACCCAGTTGGCAGTCAGTCACTAGTGGGCTTTCCCAAGGCTCAGTAGTGGGGGCAATCCTGTTTAATATCTTTACTGATGATCCAGAGAAGGAGATCGAAAGCATCTCAGTAAGTTTGCAGACAACACCATGTTGGGCAGGAGTGTTGATCTGCTGGAGGGTAGGAATGCTCTTCAGAGGGATCTGGACAGGCTGGATCAATGGGCTGAGGTCAACAGTATGAGGTTCAATAAGGCTACGTGTCAGGTTCTGCACTTGGGTCACAACAATCCCATGAAGAGCTAAAGGCTGGGAGCAGAGTGCCTGGAAGGCTGCTCAGTGGAAGAAGACCTGAGGTTGATGGTTGACAGCTGGCTGAATTTGAGCCAGCAGTGTGCCCAGGTGGCCAATGGTATCCTGGCTTATATCAGAAACAGTGTGGCCAGCAGGACTAAGGCAATGATCCTCCCCCTGTATTTGGCACTGGTGAGGCTGCACCTTGAGTACTATGTTCAATATACATAAAAATATACAAAAAACCTATCCATGTACCATTTTTTTCCTATGTTTAACCATCCTATTGGTTAACAATCCTATCATAACTACTCATTTCAGGGATTCTGGTAACTGCATATCATTTCATATGTCAAGTTTCTTTTCTACCCCTTTTCTACCTGTCTTTTATATATAGACATTATAGTTTATAGGACCAGCTCTTTGATTTTTCAGTATTATACTTCACTGAAGGGCAAAGGACAGCATTACTCCTACATCTCTTTAATTCATGATTATTAGAGCTATTAATTTTTGATGTAAAGATAAGGAATTATAAGAACCAGAAAAAAGGCTAAGCCTCAACTACTGAGGAAAAAATCAACCATTCATTCTGTTTCTTGTTCTGATAAACACTACCACTTCTCTAGCCAGTATTACAGGAATTACTTCTCCAGGTGCTGTAAAACCTGTTACAGCAGCAAGACTGTTCACAATGTGTGGTAGTATTTCTACTATTTAACTAACATACATACACCAATTTTTTTTCCTGATTTTGATTTTTTTTGATTTATCAAATAATTAGTTTTCTTACCTCCAGTTCCTTTCTTGAAGAAAAGGATTTCCACTGAATAACAACTCCTTCAGTTTATGACAGCCATTTAACCATGTAAGGACATCTTCAAGATCTATGTTATAGTAGGAAAGAAAATTAGATATAAATTTTAATGAAGAACTATATTATTTCTCATAAAATCTTACATGAAAGTAAAATGTACCAATCTCAGGAAGTCCTACAAGCAATATTGCTACCTATCCAGTATAGTTATAATTAATATCTATAACATTCCTGTTTGGAAAATATTTATATTTTTTTTTTGTATAAATGTCTCTTATAAATACATGGGAACAGTCTCATTCAAATCAGTTTATAATTTAATTATTAAATTCTTGTTTGGATGGCGCTTTATGGTGTTTTTATACAACTCACCTGACAAGCAGTTATTTTTGATATTCAGCTTTTCCAAAGACACAAATGTATTTAAAGGCACAAGCTCAGTTAATCTAAGAACAAAATAGAAGAGTTTTTTTTAAAATTAAATAAAACAGTATTTCATAAACAGGAAGGCACCAGAATCTTTTACAGTTATGACAATTTAACTACTTGCATAAGAAAATGCTCATTTAGCTATCCAAGGTGCTAGAACTAATTACTGAAATTTTAACTTGACACTGTTTCTTAGTCTTCTCAGTAGCTCATTATTTAATATTTTCTCATTAATGTTTTGTTTCATCTGGTCAATAGTTCTTTCTCTTTCTTGCATTTAATGCTGAAGATCTGAAGTCTTGTAAAATTTACACAACTCAATTGGCTTTTCTTTAGGTTCCACAACTAAAATGGAACTAACAGAAGGTCCTATTTAAAGAGAAATAAAATCTGCTTGTCTTCTTTCCTCTTCCTTCATTTCTCATTGCTCAAAATTCTTATCAGTTTGTTTCTCTTCTCAACTCAGTACATTACTTCCTAGATCCTAAAACTAACAAAATTGTTGTCACAGCTGTATTTTTAACAGGTCAAGGCTACACTATCCTGTAATACAATTTGAGCGCTTCCTCTGGTCTTACTACTTCTGTAAGATGGTGTCAAATAGTGCTAATTATACAGAGTTATGGAATTGCTCTTGTGTTATTAGAGCTTTTCTTGTTCAATAGAGCAGCAAAGCAGTACTAAGGACAAAATTCTTATTGGTAGTATTCAAGAGTAAATGTAAAGAAACTGAGATGACATCTATACAAATTATTTGGGACTGTAAGATGTGTATGATCACTGCTACTAAAGCATTTACTTACAAACTTGCACTGGTGCTGGAATGTTGAATGGTTTATTCAGCTGCCAGGCTATTGCCAAATATCACCATTCAGATTAAAGTTTATTTTGATTTACGTTAAATATGAAAGAGGGAGGAAAAGTCAAAATCAAGATGCAAGAAACTCCAACTATCAACTAAAACTAGAATGTTTATATGTAGCACACACCTCATCAACTGTATCGTTTTTAAAGATATACATGTTTCGGTAATGTTTCATCCCTGTAAGGACAAGGCCCTAGTATGAAGAATGGTAACAGAAATGGCAATGTATATGGTCAGTTTGTGAATACTAATTTTCACAGAAAGTAGTATTTTCTGAGGGTGTAATGTCTTTGAAAGGTGTAAGTCAGAATTCTTTTTGCCAGAAACCTAAACTTAAAATTGTTCAGAGCCAAAAATGCTTATTAGTTGCTGAAATGTGTGACTATGTCATGTTTCTGGCACAGGTTCACAACTGGAAGACGGAGCTGAATTTTACTCTGGTACACTGATTATGGACCAAATGTTGGTTGCAGCTTTTTTATTCTTATTGAAAATATAACCAAATGCAAAACAAAACAAAACAAAAAAATAATTTCCACCCTCAGCTGACAAGTATTTCTATACAATGACATAACAGTTTAAGAGTAAATTCAGAGAAATAAAGACAACTGAGTACATGCCACTATACTTCCTTTTTTTCCTCAAACTACATTGTAAAGTTGTCCTCATTCTAGTCCTACTTAGTTCTATTACCTTCCTGCCATGCAAGTTTTCCACAGAATCAAATAAATACAAAGAAGTATTAACTCTAAAAAGCATAAAGTGTTATACTTAGATCTGTACATAGTGCTACAAATTTTCATGATCAGTCAATAGTACATAAATATATTTAATATTTGACACAAATAGTATCATAGATATTATTGGCTAACAGTAGGGTTGCAAAAACTGAAAATCCATGTCTCAGATTACAGATTCACATATTCAGAAATATCTAGGAAAATAAATGTCATATCTTGCATAAGGGACAAAAGATAACACAGAGTTGTTTTTTTTTTTTTATAGCAAGTGAGTTCTCTGGATCTTTATCAGTATATGGTGTGGTGAATTAGAAATTGTCTACCGGACTGTCCTTGCCTGTCGGTGGTATTAAGAGAGTTAAAACGTTTCCCTGTCATTCTATAGCTTTTCCCTTTACTGACATTCTTTGTTAATTTTTTTCCTAAGAAAATTCAAACCAGAAAGACAAAGGACATTACTGAAAACTTAATACTACTTGACCTTGTCACATTAGCCCTGGGCATAAGAGATATAAATTACAAAGAAGACACAAAAGTAAAAGATATTCACAAAAAAGCAAGCTATAGCTTCCTCTTTCTGCTCCCATTTAAGGCTCTAGCAGAATGGGTCATTGCCACATAAACTACATAAAATCTATGCCAGAAAACAAGATTTAAGAATAGTTGCAAGTATGCACCAGAGAAAATAAAGATTGCTTTTCTGAACAGAAATAACAGTTACTGCTCAAGATGGTCTAAATCCTGCTGTACATCTGCTTTTCCCCAGAAAATGTTAATGAGCAGTTGGTAGGAAGGAGGGTAAAATAATTAAAATAAATTTATCTTAATCTAGACTTTTAAGTAAAGCCCATATTTCTTTTTCATTCCTTAAATTAAAAACAGTTTAGGTTGCAATATTTGCCATATTTATGAGTAGCAGTCATATAGAATATAGGAAATCTGTCAGTTATCTCCTTGCTTTTTGAATACTCTAGTAGACAGTACTTCAAGTATATTACCCATGATGCCACATTCTTAGAGATAAACTTATCACCAGCAAAGAATTAGCGAAAATAATTTAAAAAATGTAGAATTGTAAGGATAGGATGGGAAAAACCACTATAATTAAATATAACTTTTTCATGACTGACTTATTTAGACATCCAATGACACTTAGAGTTACTATGATGACTCTGGAAAAGTAGTCAAATTCTCCAAACATCAGTCACAGTGAGCTCATCGCTTAGATCTGAGAAATTAGGTTAAAAATACAGATTCCACATATATTTAATTAGAGAGAACAATATGTACTAAGAATGAATGTACTGAACTGACTTTTTAGCATTTCTAACATAAGCATTTTAGGAATAGTATACATCTAGTTGCAAAATCATGGGAGCAATATGTCAACAAGATTCTGACCAAACCAGTTTTCCAAAGAAAAGAGTAACTTTTGCTGATGACTGCATTTTTTTAAATATTAAATTTTTATCTATCTCACTTAGGTTACTTTAATGAAGAGCAAGAGATAGCAAAAAAAAGACCTTTGGCATATTAATGCCATACTAAAACAGAATAGTAGGAGGGATTGTGTTTATGTACAAGTTAAAAAAAAATGGCTACCTAAACAGCACATTGATTTACTGTCTCACTGTAAAACTTTTAAATGAAAAAGACATTACACGAAAATATAAATGCCACATGAAGTCTTAACACATATTAAATATTCATTAATTTTAGTCACAGACACAATTTTTTCTCTCCTACACCTAAACCTTTACCCACAGCAGAAGAATAAAGAAAATGCACCTTTTTTAAACTAACTTAATGGTTGTGTTCTCCAGCTGCTATAAAATAGAGCAAGGATCTTCATAGTCCCAGTTCTGCAGTAACCATGTCAAAAGGATATTCATCATTGTCTTTGGTCTATTGCACATTGATCAAGAATATGTTTTGTATGTGAAAGCCACATGAAAACACTTAATAAAAGCAGCAGCGGTGAAGTATAGTCATTTTTATATTTGAAGGAGTTAATCTTTACTTGTTATAAATCCTTGTTAGACTGTAGGTTTAAAACAATTAAAATATGGAATTTTATCTTTGATGACTTCTGGTTTATGATGCAGATAAAGCACCTCAGGAATAAAAAAGTCCTGTAAACTAGTGTAAGAATTTTCTTTTCACAGTACTTTACTTTTAGAAAGAATACAGATTCACAGCATTACCATTATATAGCTTCCTGCAAACAGTAAAAAGGAAATCGCACTCAGTGCACACTTGGAAAAAATTCACAAAATTGCACTAGCTGTAGGATAAAAGAAAAGAAACAGCTTTTATTTCAACAACTTACTCCATTACATTCACTGTTTCTATAGAACATCAAGTTACTTAGGCTACAGCACACACATATGGAGCTGCTTAAAAGTGTACATAAAGTGAGTGTACCAGAGTAGGCTACTGAAATGCCAGGAATTTTGAGGCTTTTAATATGAATTTAAGGCTATCCTGTCCTGTCTGTCACAAAGATCTGAGATAAGGTATAGATGCATCAAAAAAAGAAAAGGAACTGCTTGGGAAGGAGATGTATGTTTATTTTCAGCACATCCAGTCTGTTGATGCAAAAATATGTGCTTTCTCCTGGTGCAGCAGAAGAAACTCAGTGGACCAAACACTGCTTGTTGGCTTGGCTACTGGAAAACCAGAGCAAGCACTATAATGGACATTAAAAACTGCAAGAACATGGGATAGGAAAGTGACATAAGGCACATCTACATGGCCAATACAGCACAATCTAGATCGAGAGATGGCATTCAAGCTCAGCCTGAGACCATGTTCACAAGTCCCTAGCAGGTCCATGAGGTCTCAAAGGAGTTTTGCAAACACTTTATTACAGGATAGCTACACTGGAGGAAGAGGAGGAAACTACAAGAATATAGAGCCACATTATTGTGTGTTCCACAAAAAACCTAAACACGACAATGGAGAAAAAAAAAGAAGCAAAGAACATGAATTAACTCAGTGTGTATGATTCAAAATCTAACATGGAACAAGTAATGCTCTTGTCAATCACAGGCAGGAGGCACCTTCTCCAAACTCCAAAAGAATTACTGTGACAGAATCCCAAACCATAAAAGAAGTAACCTGAAGATTAGATTCTGTAGGTATTTGATTTACCTGTGACAGTCTATATAAAGAGTACTTCACAATAGATGATATGAAAACAACTTGAAAAGTTACATAAAATGTACACTGTATATACTTAAATAATATTCATTTTCCATGAAGGACATTCCTTATAAGAAGAATAGGACTCAGTCTTTCTCCCACAGGCTTCCAGATGCAACTGGCCCTGCTGAACTAAATGTCACATAGGACAGGATTCATGTGTTCAGATGTAGACACCTACATACGAGCTGGTCATTTTGTCTCTGTTAACACTCAATGAAGATGAACAGGCACTTGTAGGGTATGATTAGTCTCAAAGTGAACAACTAAAAATGGCAGATGAATCACCCCTTTAAAAACCTCCTCACTAACAGGAGAGTAAAGTGATTAGTGTATATTCTGTATATGGTATGTAACACAGTATATTCTATTTGCTCAGCTGAGATAAATCTTGTTCAAAGCAAAATGATCACAGCATAGAAAAATAATTGATATAATTTTAAAAGTAATTTTCCTTCTAATGCATTGTAAATTATAATAAATGTTTATTATTTTTTTAGCAGAATTTAAATTGAGAAAAGGGGATGGGGAAAATAAAAATGTTGACTCCAGGATATCTGGTCCTTCTAACTCTAAAGATGTACAGATTAGATTAGAAAACAAACAGAAAGCTAATTACAGAGCACTTGAGTGCATGATGTAGTTTTATGCCTCTTGTCTTGATCCTTCTTTATTTTATACCTTTCAAAATGAACCATAAGAGTGAAAAACTAAAGAAAATTTACTTGTTTTTGAGGGCATTAACATATGTATGTAAAATAAAAAACATTCTTATTTGTGCTTTCTAACTCTAGTACTTGCACTTAACTTAGCCTTCCAAGTCTGTTTTGAATAAGCTAGCTGTGAAATAGGAAGTTTGACAGACATACTCTAGAAACAATTGCTAAAGAAAAAAAACCCACCATGGTTTTAACAATTCCACAGTGCTCAAAAATTATTTTCACATAGCATCTAAAAGAAAAAAATTAATTTCATAGTTAATGCTGTTTCAAATTTTCTTAGTTAGAGGTAGCCAAACTAATTACATGCTAACCATGTATTTTCAAAGAATATCTCAAAGATAGTAAAATTTCAGCCATACTGAGAATGATACTTTTCAGACAAGCGTTATGTTAGTAAATTCCTGTCTATCAGTTTTGTAAGTGGAAGAAGGTTTCTTGCTTACCTATTTTGAGATAGAAAAAGAATCTGCAATAGAGGCAACCAATAAAAAGAAAGCATTCTCACAGCAGAAATGCTATTGTCATCCAAATATAGTTCTCTTAGCAGAACATGATTTTCCAGTCTTGGAAGCTAAACAGAAAAGAGATGGTTATTTAAAATTAATATAAATCAGAGAAACAACAATGAAATGCTTACCAGATGCTTTTCATAAATCATTACTAAATACAAGCAAAACTCACATTCTGGATATATGTATCCTTTCCTTAATATGTATGTACCAGTTGTCACACATAATCTCTACATATCGGATGGTAAGTATTTTTTAATGTCTTCTAACAAGTTTGAATAGTCAACATAAATTAATTTTAAAAAAAAAAGGTCAAGAGCCCAAGAGTTACAATATTACTATTTTATTCATTTGCTGCCTATCAACAATGGTTTTCTTCTCTCAAATTCATAAAGGCATAATTGTCAGTAAATATGATTAAGTGCACAGTTAGCAAACAATTTTCCTATTTTTAATCCTGCAGCACAAATATCAAGTTTTGGGGAATCAACATACATCAAATCAGCCTGATTATTATTGGGATGATAATAATGATATTATTATCATTACATATAAGTAATGATAAAAAGTGATTACTTACATGTAATAACAACTATTATTATCAGCCTGATATAATTATCTTATTACGTATAAGTAGATAATAATATTTTCTTACATTTTAATCAAATCTAGACTCATATAAAAACCCCTGAAGACTAGACACTATAAACGAAGGACAAACCATAATTATTGAGGGGTTGATTATTCCAAGGACTTAGGAGTAAGAAAATACTTAACTGCTAGACATTTGTATATCTGAAAAATTTCCCTCTAAGAAGATAAGAAAAAAAAGCTTACCAAAGAGCATGAAGCATCCCACACCAATCAAAGAGCACATGATCAGAATGCTGAAAAATATGACTGTTAACAAAGATGTATGTACAATAGCCACTAAATTCAAAGCTTTTACCTCCTGGAGATTATTGCCTTGCAACTTCAGAACTTGAAGTAGGCCACAATTCTCAATGTCTTCAACTTGTGTGAGATGATTAAAAGAGCAGTCTAGGTAAATGAGAGTAGGTACCTCACAAAGACCTTTTGTGCTGATTAACTGATTATGGTCCACAGTTAATTGCTGAAGATTTTTCAGTGACTTCAGACCACCTGAAAATTAAAGATTTAAGCCACAATCAAATAAAAATCTGTTTGCTGTATTTCAAGTACTAAAAAAACTGTGAACTTTCTGTATATTATCTATAGTAACAATTAAGATTAGTTCTCTATAACATTTAAAAAGAATTACTGTATTTTGACCACATCAAATATACAATGCATACAGTTCATAAATTTCTGATCCTGTTAATCAATCAATAATAACAGGTCATAATCTCTTTAGTACTTCTGTTGGATGAGAGCATTCTTTTAGTGGTAAATGGTATTTACTATGCTTTAACCACTTGATGACTGCTCTGAACTCTGTGAATACTAACAGCCCTAATAAAACCATCCACCAGAATGAAAACACTATATTTAAAAGTTAATTTTCATTACTTCATTTTTTAAAGGTTCGGTGATTTTTTTTTTTAATGTATCAGCAAGGTTAGAAAAAAATTGTGGTAAAATATCACCAGTTCGATTATTAAAGTTCATCTTGTTTAAGGAATTATGTCATGAGATATTTTTCATGAAGAAATTTATAAAGAAAATTTAGTGCTTTTAAGAATAAAGCTATGTTACTATAGCCATTACACTCAACAAATTTACTCCTGCCAGCTAGTCTAAAGAGCAAGAATGTATGTGATCTCTACCCAAAAAGCAAAGGAAAAGGTTCCCATCAGCATCTGTTTGTTTCACAGAATGTTACCCAAATCATTCTCCTCCAACAGCAGAAATGACACTGGCCTTCCATGGTCTTACACATGCCAGATGTTCTGCAATGGCACCGATGTATCTGACTTACTACAGGTCCAAGCAGCTTTTCTGTATCTCTGGAGTAAAACTGCTTTTAAGGGACACCCTTTAGAAAATGTATCTAAAATTAGGAATTTCTGATTTTACTTTTCTTTCATGTATTCTTCACAGGATTATTTGAGGGGATAGTTTATCTCATCTTTATCTCACCCAAAACTTCCCAACCAAGTTCCCACAAGGAAGCTGGGTGAGCTTTACAGCAGTTAATTACTTTGTGACTGTCACCTGAAAACAAACTGGATTATGAAACCAGAGATTAGTTTTTACCACGGAGTACTGAATACGGAGAAGAATTGAAAATGAAAAAAAAAAATGATAGGAAGAAAACTAAAGTAAAAAATTAAATATTAAAACTAGAAGTACATTTTAAAAATCCCAAATATATGCCTTCAAGTGACTTTAATTTAAAAATGGAAAGCACCTACTGAAAAAAATACAATTGTCTGATATTAAAGTGATATCATCCTAAATATAACAAAAATACTCCATAATGTAACTTCAAAACTTTGCTTTAGGAAATAAATATACAACCCTTTAAATATTCTGAAAGAATTTCAGACATGCCCATGACATACCCTCTTGACTGCAAGATTCTGGTCTGTATTTTTTTTAATGCTTGGATAAAAATTAAAAAAGCAACCAGCGCCATCTAGCGGTTTCAAAATACTTTCGTTTCAGAGCGTGCTAACAGCTCCCAAGACTTCCTCCTAAGAGCAATCCTTAAATCTCCACTTTTCAGTTACCACCACTGCAGTACTAGAAACTTTTAAAGGCACTATATGAGTCTGGAGTGGGACAGAGAGGAGAGAGTGAACAGGCAAGGAGGTAATACAGGATTTGGAAATTTCCTATTCTGCATGGGGCACAAAGCATCTATTTTACATCTCCTTCTCCTCATCTGAGTGTTATTTGGAACAGACATGCCAAAGCTACATACAAGAAGATCACAATACATTCTGGAATTATCAAATGTAGTCCAACAAAAACATAAAGAGAAAAATACAATACAAACAGATGGTATTTTAATGTTTCTTCTGCCCACACGTAAAATTGAATATAAGCATGAAGGTCTTCTGTGGATTTCCATAAGATATTATCTGTTTTACATATAATGAATCAAACAACAGCTATAGTAGCATAGGGGAAAAGCATTTTGTTGACAAACATATGTTTTCAGCAAAATTTGAGTGTAACCTTTATATGAATAGCTCTTAACAATTTGCGAAGTGTAGCTGGAGTCTGTTAGCTAGGGACTCTATCTTAGCTACTTATGCAGTTCTGAAGTCACTTCTATATGTGACAAAGGTGAATGATAAGAGTGAAGGTTGACAGTGAATGTAAATATGAAAAAAACACATAAGAAACCTCAAACAACAAAACCAAAACAGAAAGGCATCTGATTTAAAAAAAAAAAAAAATACTATTTGTGCTGTCTTTAAAAGAGTAGATCTAAAGCAGCATTTACAACTATCCATGGTTATGCATTGCAATTTTTTGAGTTGCCAGGATTTTAGTCAACATGCTATGGCAGTATAGAAACCCCGCAGAAGTGTATTCAATGATTCCAGTCAAAATGTTACTTTTTGCAGAAGAAAATTTTAAAATAAAGCATTCATCTTCCAAATAAAAACATATGCACAGAACTTCAGTGTATTACTGCCACAGTTACTTAATTTTCAATTGTGTATTCTTAAGTCAAAAAGCATAATTGAGACTATTTCTCTCAGTGATATTTTTAAGGGTTTCTGGCAAGTCTATTTTTTCCTCTACTGATGCTATATTTCAATGAGAGGAGGAAAAAATAAAAAGAGAAATCATATTATGCTAGAAGTTTCCTACAATAAGTTATTAAAACTTAAGTATTTTAAACATAAATAAGCCTTACTGCACAGTATTGCAGATGTAAGGGATATGCTAACTTCTTAAATCACATAAATCCATTTTTTGTGTATTCTATGCAACTACTCACAACCAACATGTTATTGTGTGAAATAAATCCTGTATTATGCATCTGTTTTAACCAAACATCCTCAAAGCAATTCCGGAGAGGAATTCAGATTTCATTTTATGAACATTCGTTTACCCATTTAAGTTTGTTAGAGACTTGGTAACTGCAGCAGTGCACTGCACAAAAGGGAAAGTACAAGAGGATTTTACTCCACTTGGCCTGTACAAAGATACTAAACTTCACACAGATGCCACATTCTTAAATGTCATCCACTAATACTATGTCATTCTTACAGTACTCTTGTAGACATTTTTATCAAAATTATATAAATCTGAATATGAATCTTATCAAGCAATATTTGCCACAAGGATACAGTTGAAGATTTTTAAGCATTTTATTTTACTGTTTCTCATTAGGGTATTGATATGCTTTTACAGTAAACATTGATTTCCCAGCACTTTTATTCCTAGGTATATTCATTAATATTAATATTTGCACATATTAGCAAAAATTATTGAAAATATCAACATTAAAGCCTCTACATCTACAGATTTATTTTTATTTTTATGCTTTCCATTTCCTGTTTTCTTTGCCCTTGTCATTTATCATGGAATTGCATTATCCATGTTCATACTGTTTCAGTCTTTTTTTTTTTAACGTTGGAAATTATTTCCTTATATAAATGTCTTATGTGAATGTGTTTCATCTATAAGCTTAAAACTTGTTTTAAATTATTTTCCTGCTGTCCAGCAGATTCAGACAGACAACACAATTTCTATATAACTACTTACTGTGTCAGTAAGGAATCTGTTGGAATTCTCTGCAGTTGCAAGGCTGGGATTTACATTCATTACATCTGTAGATAAACCAAACTTGGGCTACTCACATATTCCAGCTGAGTTAGTGCACATAATATTAGTGGCCATTCTAGAAAGATTTTAATTCTCTTTGGCTGACAATAGCCATCCTGGTAGATGGAATACATGGCAATATCTAAGCCATACTACAAATAAATATGAAGTTAAGAATGTTTTAGAATGCAGGTTTTTTTCTAAGTCTGTCTCCTTGGTCTCCTTGGGCTTAACAGCTGACTGGCTCTGAATCTAAGGGGAATACAATTTTGAATATAAACTGCATGAATATTGTTATACAAATTGGAATAATTTTCTTACCAAATCGGGTGATTCTATTGTAGGAAAGTTCAAGATTTTGGAGATTTTTGCAGCCATCTAAGCCACAAACTGATGACAGATGGTTCTTACTCAGAATGAGAACACGAAGATTTTCTAGATTTTCACAGTCAATTATCTGAATGTTGTTCTCCTGCAATAAAACAAAATGAGCATATTAAGTAGCATCTGAAGTGAAATAGCAGTAAAAATATGGCAGATTGCCATCACTACTTATTTTTATCCTAAACATCTACCTAGGAGGAGGGGCATCTGTTTTTTCCATTAGGAAAACAAAATGATGAGTCACAGAAACTGCCTTTTGTGTCCTGTTGGAATAGGATAAAAATATATTTTGAACTTCATTCTGGCTCTGAAATGCCCAGAATTTGGAACAAAAAGTGTAAAAAATTAAGAACAGAGTAGTCTTTTCCAGATGTCCTTTCCTAGCTTCCCAAATCCTGGGAGACAGAACTAAAAACTGCAAAGAAACCATCATATTTACTAGATGCTAATGAAGACTACTGTAATTTTGCTGGAATCCTATTTACTAATAGTGAAAGTCTGCATTTAGAAGTATTTTGGTCACAAACATTAACACTGTTCTAAGCTTATATTCTTCCCTCGAGAGATCTTGCTTTTTTAACATCCCCCTCCTCCCCAGGCCATTTTAATAACACCACCTCAAATTTCTATTTCACTCCTTGTTGTGCTTGGTCTTTTCTTCTTCTTGTGAATTGGTGTTGTTAAACCCCATGAAATTAAAAATTTGAACAAAGCTTCTTCACGTAAATTTTCAAGTTTTGGAATGAAGGTGCATCACAGAGATAAAGTTTTCTTTGGTCATTAAACAAGGCCATGTAAGACACTGTACAGTAGTGAAAACCTAGACATTATGCCTCTAGTGTAACTCACTGTGCTGTTCCTTGTTAGTAATTTTAATTAATATTCATGGTGTGTATTGCAAAGAACTCTTCATGCTACCTATTCGTGCTCAAGCTGAGCACCTGCTATGGTGAACAACATCTGCCCACTCATGAATCAGAGACTGAGGTAATGGAGAGCTATCACTGTGCCATACTACTGCTAATCCTAGACTGATATTTTCTTAGTACAGTCAATTAATTTGCAGCATGTAGTTTGTTGTTATATGCACTGTAAATCTGCTGGTATAACTTTGTTCACAGTTGGGAGTATTTTGTTGACACAAAATATGCTCTTAAGGCACTAAAAGTAATATATTCAGTTGGATACAACTATATAATTAACTAAGCAGCAAAACTGGTAGTTCTCCCCATGTTACAATAAAGAATCAAATATCCTTGGTACCTCCACATTGATATACTTAAGGTCTTTGCAGCTACTTAGTCCTTCCAGTGAAACTAGTCCACAGCGTCTCAGAGTCAAAACTTGAAGATTTGAACACTCAGATAACGTTGAGAGGCTACAAGCTGGCAAATCTTCAAGCATAAGTGTTGTAACCTACAGGTATTTATTGATAAATAAAATTAATTTTTTGTATATTGAACATTCATTGTACAACATCACATTATGGTCATTTTCATTAAGCTGAAAAAGAGACCAAAACTTGCTTTAGAAAAATGCAAGCAACTGATGTTAATCTCTTTGTATAGAAAAGGATGAAAATGGTGGGTTTGATCTGTTGAATGGGAGAAGTTAGTATGAAAACAATTATCACAGTATCATAAATAATGAGTGTAAAAGAACAGACAAAAATACTTCAGATTAACAATGTTTATAGTCAAGTATGTCATCTCAGAGTGGATAGCAAGATGAGAGCACAGAGCAAGCATACAATGATAAGTTGGTAAGAAAAAGAAGTCCTGTGAAATAGGAGATGTTCTTTATGACAAAACACCACCTACAAGCTGATCAGTAATATCTTGCTCCTAGAAGAAACTAGTCTTTTCAAAAATCTGAAGGGCATTGTTGAGTAGGAGCTGAAATGTGGGCCCTCATACAAAGGTGAAACCTTGTTAATTTAGCAGACGATAGGAGCTATTGCCTTTTACAGGCTTAAGACACTATCAATCATCTGAAGACTCATACCACACCAGTCTGCTCCATGACACTCACAGGAATTCAGAAGTCATTGTCATTGCCCTTATTCTGCACTTGGGCAAAGGAAGTCTCACATGATCTACATACTGATCAACAATAACCTCCCTCTCTTCCAAACAGCATTCTGCTGACATACTAAACTTAAAAAAAAAAGAAAAAGCATAGCCTTCCATTTCATTCTAAATTTTCCATATAGTTACCTGCTGCAAGGTACTCCATGGGCCACTATGAATTATCTTTTCTGCACTTAATGGAGGCATCTTGCTAACTGAACTTTTCCTTGGTCGTTTTTTAAGAGTTGCTTGCTTTCTTTGGTTTTCTTCATATATTTTAGACCAAGATTTACATGTGGTCATCCAGTTTATTCTCTTCTTTTCAATATCATTAGGAAAAATTAGTTTACTGGAAGACTCTGCTACATCTTGAATTCTGTCCCAGGTGTCTCTGACTTCCTCATTAGCATTTTCCACTAGATATACAGTTTTCTTCGTTGTTTCATACTGACAAAACTGATCTTCAACTTCTCTATTACTAGCGTTTGGTTGGACATCTGGTGGACTGCTGCATATTGCCTTATTTTCTACCATGTCATTAGCTCCAAAGTTAAGAGACTCCTCCTTTGAAGTATGATTATTTGGAGCTTCATTAAGATAGCTAGTTTGTGAGCAATTTTCTTCTATTTGTGTTACTGAATTCATATATATATTCTCATTATTTACTTGAGAAGAATGTTCCTTCTCAGAGCCTAGCATACTTGGTGTTGGTGTCAAATTTCTTTCTACTAGCATCATCCAATTATTTGTTCCGTCCATCATTTCAGCATGTTTTTCTTTTTGTTCCTCCCCTTGTTTATTTAGTTCCTTCTTTTGTTCTCTTATTACTTTTGTATTTTCTGTGTGATTATCATTTTTTATGTTTTCTTTGTTATTTTCTCCACTTTCACTCATCATAGCTTTTACTTTTTTTTGTTCTAGTTTTGTCTGTTCTTCTCTTTTTACTTGCAGTTGTTTTTCTCTTTCCAGTCTCAGGCTTTCTTTCTTTTTCTCATATTCCTCATGCCTCTTCATCCGTTCCAAATATTCTTGTCTTTCAAGTTCTTCTTGTCTCTTTCTTCCCTCTTCTCTCTTAAGCCTATTTTCCTCCACTCGCCTCTTCAGTTTTTCCTCTCTTTCTTTCCTTTCTCTCTCTATTTCTTCTAGCATTTTCTGCTTCTTTCTCATTTCATATTTCCATTCTTTTAAAATGGGAGCATATTTTTTATGGACTAAAAATGATCTAAATCTAGCTTGAATTTTCACAGCAGCCATATTCTGTTTTTCAGCCAATTGTTGTCTCTCTTTTGCTTTTTGCTCTTCCAAGGCCTTTTTCTCCTCTTTCATTTGCATCTGTAGCTTCATGATCAATTCCTAGTCCAAAACAATTAAGATAGATTCTTAAACCACTTTTAAAACCACTTTTAAAATGGTACAGGTGTTGGTACATATTTATCATTAATAAACAGGATCTGGTATATTAACTGTTCCAGGATAACATTCTCAAATATATGACAGTAATCTCAGTCTTTTGACAAAAGCTCATTGTAACTTTACCTCATGTTGCATCATTTTGTCTCTCCACACTTTTTTTTCTTTCTGTAGCTCATCTTCTATTGCAGCTTGGCGTTTCTGTACAATAAATTAACACAAATGAATATTGTACAAAACCTGGAACAACACTAAACATCCTCTTTCTAATCTCACCCATCTTCTTGACTTTCCAACAGTCCACTTCTATGACTGCCTAAATTTTACAGAGAAACTCAGCTGTGTGTGGATCAAACTAAACAACAGGACACTTGCATCAGTAACACATATTTGGACATGTATTGAGAGATGCATACCTTCAGAGAGTCAGCATCTTGGTACTGGCCCAAACAACTGCCACCTTCCTCTCAAAACTCTGTACTATTGTTGAAGATGAAGACTACACTTACAAAACCATTCAAAGTACAGGCAGATAACAGAAACATATCTGAACAGTAGCATGAACAGTGTCTCTTTAATTGTACTGGTATGTACTGATAATATCAAAATCTTTAGAATGGCAATTTTGTTCAGTGAGGCTAAAGAAATTTTTTTCTCTGAAATTACTTCTCAATGGAAAACTGAAAGTTCAAGTCTACTTTCTCACCATTTGCAAATAAATAGCATTTTCCTCTTTGCCCAAGATAGTCTCAATCAGAAAAAAGAAATCCACACTATCTAGAATTACATCTGACTGAAAGTTAACAGACAGTAAGTAGCTAAAAAACTGAGGCTGATCTAGAATCACACAACTCCTGGTGGAAAAAAGATATATCAGTATCAGCAGAATCAAATATAGAGAAGGATATGAAGAAAATATAAACAAACTAGCACTTCCAACTTGGAGCATAAAGTCTCACAGGTTTCTAAGCGCTGGTTTTGATAGATATTCAGAAGTATGCTGTTCAAACAACAGTAGACATCTAGATCCTTCTGTAACAGGGGAAGATAGTCTCTATCTGTCACGTCCAAAAAGAGTGCTCTAGCAACATCAATACTGAAGTGTCTAAAGGCGGCCATGCCCCACTTGGTCTAGACAAAGAAAGCCATTCTACACCCAAAAATGACTTGTGACATCAAAGAGCCAATTTTGTGACCTGTTGAAATGAGAGCTATAGCAGACGTTGAACTGGCCTTCAGAGATCAAAGGTCTTTTCACTTACTAAGCTCTTCCCTAACTTTGGTGACTTGAATTACCTTGCTAGGACCAAGATGCCCACTTTTGCACAAAGCCGCAATTTAGTCACCTGAAAATGTGATGTTAATGCACCTCTCAAAACACAATTATTTAGGCTAAATAATAAAATATGGTGGCCTCACAAGCATAATATCTGAATTACATTTCTTCACATTCTTACACTCTTTTGTGGAGAGCTATCAAATTTTATCTTTCAGTATGCACCACAAGCTATAGCAAAACATGACTAGATACTCTAAGAATGCAACCAGTCAATATGTGGAGTCATGTTCTGTTGTGGTAGAACTCAGTAGATAAAGCCAGGTAAAGACAAGAAAAGGAACTATTGTACCTTTTACCTAGATGAAGCACAGCACCAGCATTTCTGAACTGAATGATTTTGGTTCCAATTACTTCACTTAAGTTTATACATCTAAATGTGAAACAGCAGTGGGAGGTCCAAAGTAGATAAGTATATTCTATTAAGGCACAATGACCATTTTTCATTTTTGATTATTTCAGCTCATCTCTTATTCCCTGTACTTTGGCTATTGCCATAATATAAAAACTTTGTAAGGGCAAAGCTTCAAGAATAATTTCACATTTAGCACAGCAAATTCACTTGCTGTTGATCAAAGCAGTAAACACATAAAACCCAAAGGATTATACTTCAATATGTCACAAATCACACAAGTAGACAGAGCTTAGAGCAGTCATATGGTTTGGGACGGTACTCTCTTTTTCGCATTGAATTCAGATAGTCTAGATGGGAACGGATTGGCTTCAGTATCATTAATTACCTTATGAAGAAGGTCTAACTTTACTCTTTCAGCCTCAAATTGCTCCAGGTGCCTCATCCTTCTTGCATGTTCTTCTTCATTCTGTTTTTCCCGTAATTCTCTCTCAGCCTTCCACTTTTTCCTCTTATCTTCAAGCTCAAGTTCCTGTCTACATTTTTCTTCTATTTCATGATGAGTAGGGTTTATGCTCATTTCAAGACCAGCTATGAATTTGTAATCAAACAAACAAACCTTTTATTTAAATTTCTAATAAACACTGCGAGACATTAAACAGTCTTACAGTATTTGACAAGGAAAGGATGCTGTACTGATACAGCCAGCAATATACAGCCCCAAGGAAATCAGAACTACAGCATGAGTCCTTTGCATCACGTTTTATGTTTTATTATTATATTGTTGTTACATATATTTATTATAATATACATTATAACATATTAATATATAAAATAATATTATTATAATATATATTACAATATATATAATATGTTATTATCATATTGTATATATATTTTTTATTATTGCATCACAATCATGTTTTATTATTATTTTGCACACTTACTGACTCTGCAACTATTATGCATATTCTAACAATGTATATTGCAAGATTACACAGGATGTCTTCTGTGGCTATTAGAAGGGCTTTTACAACTCATGCACTCCAGCTCAACTTATCCTAAGGTCATGGCAAAGGAAACATTTCCAGCCAATGTGACTTCTAAAAAAAAAAAAACGAAGCTATAGCCAAAGCAGAACCTGCTCAGTGCCTCCAATTTGGTTTACAATTTCTATTAATAATTATTTAAATAGTTTTTTGGGGGTACTTTTTGATACAAATTCCTATGATGATTTTGTCATCCTGAAATGAGGTACAGGTGTTTACTCACATCTAATTCACCAAGTACCATGCCCTGATGTATACTATTATGTGCAATTCCTTAAAAAGAATATTACGATACTTATGAACACAGAAAAGTAGGAAATGGTGATATGATGCTAAAGATCAACTCAGCCAAATGACTAATATGTTTGCTTACCTGTAAGCAAGTGGTCATCAGTGACCAGTTCATCACTGGTGGATTGACTATAACTAGGTGTTGTAGTAATCTGGAAGACTTCATTTTCAATTTCAAGCAGCATCTAATAGAGTTTAATATTGTTATAAAAAAACAAGAAACAAAATTTAAAAGCAGAACATTATAAAAATCTTTCAGAACATGGATAAACGCTTTATCATATGACAATATGAAACTTACTACTGACTGGAATCATTACACACTAATTAATGCAAACATGTCAGTCAAAATATTGTTTTCTGGAGTAATAAATTTTGCAGTATTTCCCAAAATGCATAATATTTCTATGTGTTTTTAAAATATATTTTACATCTTGACTTGGAAAAATGAATATTTTGCATTTGGAATTTATTTTACTTTCTGTGGAACCAAGTGCTATATTTACACATTAATACTGTTATGCACACAGGGGAAGAACTAGTAACAGAATAAATGTTTAAAAAGTCTATTTCAAAACAATACTGTGGGCACAAAGATTGCTATATTTGCTTCATTGTTCTTTACTGGCAAGTAATCTATTCCTGCTCATTTATCATTCATTCATCACATGCTTGGGGCATATATTAATATTTGTAATGCAGTTGAAGTCACATGAAGTAATTGTGCTGTCCTAAACAATAGTCTTCTGAAAAAAATAAAATCATGTTTGCAAGAGTGCTCAGTAATAAAAACCAGACGACAAATTAAAAGTGGTTAAATTCAGTTTTATGTTTTTCTAAGAACTTCAGCGAGTCATTCAGTCAAATCCTATGAAAATATAGAACTCATGTTCATAACTCTTGATTTGCCTTTGAAAGGCACAGACATTACTATGTCTACATTTTTTATAAAATTATGGAATACATTAGGAGCAAGATTAATAGTAGCACATGTTCCTGATCATAAAAAAATAAGATTAGAGAAGCTTAAAAGTGTTATCATACTATTCTGCAAATAATTAGCAATAAAAGATTATTCACTTTTATTTAATTTTGTTGATTTTTGTGCTCACTATCTCAAGTACTGACACAGAGAATTTATTTTGAACTTTAAAGCTTATAGACATGGTGTATTACAGATGATATCCCAGTTCTAAAGAGTTGTATATACAAACTCATCTTAATGCCTTATGGGTAGTCTGAAACAAACAAATTGAACACATTTATAGGAGTCCTTAGGAGGACTTACTTACCAAAGTAAGTGTAAGTTATCGACATTATTAATATTAATTTTGTCCACAATAAATATTGTATAAATAAAAAATACCTTTTCTTTAAATTGTTCTGGATCTTCATTTGATTCAGAAGTATGACTAGAAACTTCTCCATAAATGTCATCTAAAGAAAAAATAAATATATAAGTTAATTCACAGACAGAAAAATTCCTTACCAGTGCTCAGTTTTGGTCTGACTGTTTAGCTACTCAATTTGTTTAAACTAAAATAAAGTTGGGGTTTTTTTCCTTCCTTCTCCCCCAGTTTTACTTAAATATACATGGAATCGTTTATCTACATTACAAGCAGCAAATCTGTATAGCAGAAGCACACACAATGATACTGTAAGAATACAGTGATAGCAAATATGAAAAGGAATTATACATTATGGAACACAACAGAACATGTTCTGTGCAGAAAAATACAGTAGAACTTGTATGAAATAGATCAAAAGCTGACAAGAAACTATAAAAGCAATGAAAAAGAGTAAAACTGCATTACAAAAAAAGGATAAAAAGAAACATTTCTCAAATATCTAAATTTATAGACAATATTGAACTTCTGTTCACGACAACTATTGCACTAATGGAACAGACAATGTCAGCTCTCTGGCATATAAACTACGAGCTTGGTTTCAGTCACACAGCTGACAGAAATATTGTTCCCAATTACAAGGTCATTTCTTTTAATGCTAGCTTGGACATCTCTCAAGACAGACTTCAAACATATCCTATGGGGGTCAATTGCATCTGAGCTCTGAATTTCAGCTCCTACTGATTTCATTTTAGATTCTCATGAAGAGTCTGGGCCAGGCCCTTTTTACTTGTCTCCTTTAGCATTAGATGAATTTTTAGAAAAGTTCAATTCATACGCAGATGTTAATCCTGGAAGATAGTGTTGCATGGTTTTATTCCTGGAGATTTTTAGCATGCATTCAGAAGCTAAGAAGTAGGTTTCACAGCTTGCACTACCTAAAATTTTGCATTATTTTACTAATGATCGTTAGTCTAACTTCCACTGGCATTACGAGGTGAACAAACATTTTAATTGTGATCCGTGCTTACTTGTAATTTGTTCATCTTCTAAGTCTTGCAGTATAAGCTTTTCAGCATCTTGATTGCTGCTCTTCATAAAGTTTAAATAGGAGAGAACTGATTCTGGTAAGCCATCTGAAATCTAGAAAAACATGACCTTTGACATAAATTCTACATTTTCATCTCACAGTTTTGACAGAGGTAAACACTTGACATGTAAGAATATAGACTACTTTTGGCTTCACCTATAAAGCATCAGTGGAGATTTAATAGCAATTGCCACCAAAATTATTCCCAATTCCTACACTCTTTCTGTTACCACCCATTGAACAATTAATAATTCTAATTTTAATTACATTCTAATCAAATTTTAGTAACTTATCTTTCACTGACTTCAGAAACATTTCAATTAACACTGTGTTTATAACTGTTGGACCAAGAAATTAAGGAAAAGGATGAGACAAAAATGAACAAATAACTACCAAGCACAGGATCTTTTTCTTTAAAATGTTTAGACTCTTTAAAAAATAAATTAATTTTAAATTTACTAATGTTTAAAGTACGCATGTAAATCCAATGCTTCAACTTTCTTTACTACATAGAAACCTTCTATTCAAAAGACTGTCTTTTGCTGCAAGAATTTGGTAAAATAGATTGCCCTCTCTCAAATGTGCAAATTGTTGTAAACACTGTTGACATTCAGTATGTGAGTGCACAAACACTACTGATGCCTTTGTGTATCTTTATGTCATGTCAAACACGATTTATGGTCACATATGACCAATGTTATCTATCCTAATATCCTACAAACCAGTCCTTTTACTATGAGTCCAAAAGATAAAAACAGCTGAAAAGGATCCAAATAAATAATTGTATTTCAGAGAAAAATAGTTCCCCAAAATAAGAAATTGTTCAAAGATATTAAAAATATATATAAATATATATATAATTAAAAATAAGAAGATATTCAAAAAGAGGACCTGAAGCACCCATTTATATGAAATTAATATGTGGAAGTCTCATAAGGAATTTCATAAGACATTATAAGATTTTAAATACAGATTTCAATGAAGAATCATTGGTTTATTCATCCAGATTTAATCAACCTCTATGGCTTCGATAAAATCTTCCAGCTCCAGAGGATTCTGAAAAAAAAAAATCTCTGTGCCTGATTGTCTCACTTAAGTAGAATGCTGATATGCATCTCTCTTATTGCCCTGTCACCACTGGAGGTTCACTTTCCATGATGTAATACTACGGAGACTACTTTACAGAAGAAATCCTCAGGTTAGGGATGTCAGGAGTATGTTCTATTCATCCAATAGAACTCCCAATGGCAGTACTACTTTCAAGTAGCAATAGAAAGAGTTGTAGCCATTGAATACTTACTGTCTCACTGTCACTCAAAGGTTCATCTGATGCCTCTGTGTCAGGATCGTCTGCTTCAAAGGACGTAACACTGATTCTGCCTAATTCAATTTCTATTTCTTTTTCAATTCCTTCAATATCTTCTGACATTCTACTTTCCACAGTGTCTTATCTGTTTTCAAAGCTACACAAAGAAAATAATACCTTTCAGCACAGCATGAACTCAAATAGTCTTCATTTAGCCTATGTTCATTCAGATGTATTTATTGAACAGTTAGCTTAAAACATGAACATCTCACTCCAAAACAGCAAGCAAAAATAAAAAAAAAATATGTTACCTTGTGATAAGAATCCTCCTCAGGCTACCGCTCAAAATTTTGCAAATGTTATGAAATTTCAATATGAAAAACCTCTGCCTGCTCTCTACAATTTGTGGAAAGTATCAGCGCCATAAGTTAAGGCTCACAAGGAATTTTTTTCAGCCCTAATAGTTACCAAGCAGAAAAAAAGTTTTGAACAATAATCAACAATATTAACAATTACAAAATAAGACTAAGAATTCAGAAAGCACTCAATGACGTTTTAATGATACAGAGAAAACAGTCAGAAATGTCACAACCCACAGAAGAACAAGATTTGTGGATGGATCCAGACCGGAGGAAAACGGGTTCCCCGTCATCCCCACCTCCCTCCTTCCGCAACCAGTGCCCCTTTTCAACCCAGGGACATGGGACGCAGCCTAGATCCGCCCCATCTGAGGCAGCGAGCAGCTCCTGGTCCCTCGCAGGCTCCTGCAACAGGAGACGGGACGCGCGGAGCGCATCTCAGCCGGGACAGCGTTAAGCGAACCCGGAGAAGGAAAACTACACCTCCCAAAAGGCATCGCGGCGGGAGACAGCCCGGTCCACAGCCCCGTCCCAGGAGGAGTCGCCCTTTTGCATGCTGGGAGTTGTAGTCCATCCCTCCGGGCAACTGCCGCCCTCCGATCCCCCTTGCCTATTCCACATAGCCACTTACCTACCGTTCACCCGAGCCTCTCCCGGAGCTCCCGCCTTCCCGGCCGCCTCCGGAGGCCGACCACCTCTCCACTCTGAAATCCCGCGGCCGCCAGCCGCTGCTGGCCAGGCGCTCCGTGCGGAGAACGAGAACCCGCCGCTGCGCCGCCGGGAGCGTTACCACGGCAACGGGAAACAGCGTCTCGGACGGACAGTGGGAGGAGCCAAACTTCGCCGGGAGCTGCCGTTTGCTGCTGGGGCGGCAGGCGGCGTGTCCCGGCGTGGCGGAGAGCACCTCTCAGTATTTTATTCGGGTTTTTTGGTTTGATTTGATTTGATTTTTTGTTTGTTTGTTTGTTTCTTTGTATGCGTGTTTGTTTTTCTTTGTTTGTGGTTTTTTTATTTGGTTTGGTTGTTTTGTGGGTTTTGCTTTGTTTTGCTTTTAAGTAATAGACTGGAATTTAGTCTTCACAGTAAATTGGAATAGGCAATTAATCGTGGGGGGAAAAAAAGCCAGACCAAAGACAAGTTAAAGGTATATTAAAACACTATGATTTTGCTTCCTGTTTGCCAAGAGAACTCCAGAGCCATAAAAAATGAAAACTTGCCAGACATGCCTTCTGTCCTCACACACCGGGGCTCTGTCACGGCTCGGCAAGGCCAGCGTCCCACCGGCGAGGCAGGAGGGGTGCTCATGGAATCACGGAATGGAAGGGACCTAAAAGATCTCCACTGCCACAGATCACCTTGTCCCAACCCCACTACCGTGGGCAGGGACACCTTCCTCTAGACCTAAGGGTTGCTTAGAGCCCCATCCAACCTGGCCTTGAACACTTCCAAAGATGGGGCATCCACAACCTCTCTGGCAACCTGTTCCAGTGTCTCACCACCTTCTGAGTGAAGAATTCCTTCCTAGCATCTAATCTAAATCTCCTTGCTTTTAGTTTAAAATCATTCCACCTTGTCCTATCACTGTCTGCCTGTGTAAAACATTCCTTTCTGATTATTTAAGAGCCTGGAGGAAATGTCCAGTTGGAGAATTAAAAACTCCACACAATTCAGTCAAGCAAAAGCGATACAGGGCAGGCAGGGTGCAGATAATATCATTTTAGTCTCTAATGGTGTTCAGAGGGAAAGCATCTGACCCTGAGACTGATAAGGAATATCAAGATGCAAAGACAGGTATAACGAAAAAACCAGAGCTGAAATGTAAAGTCAGGTTTTACACAGAAAGGGTGCATTTTGGGATCAAAGGGAAGGATCTGACAAGAATGGTGGGGCTTTTCCTATCTACCATCTTCAGAATAAAATTAATACCTTTCTGAAAGACTTATGGATGTTAAGCACAAAATACTGGATTCAAGGGCAACCCTTTACTGTTTCTTCACCAGTGTTATGGATGAGTAAGACATTTAAATATTAAAATAATAGAAAGTCACCCATTTGAAATCCACCACTTCACAGAATCATGTAACTGGTGAACTTTTCAATCTGGTCAAGTTTTTAAGCATTGATTTGAATGTGCATTTAGTACTTGTTTTGTGAAGATGTCATGCTGTGACCATGGTGAATGAAGACCATATCATGTATTTAGCAAATAACTTTGCCAATAAAAGAGAGGTTTCTGTAGGCATGTTGCCTGTATCCAGGAAGTCAGGGCTCGTCAACAGAGGAAAACTTCTCTGTTGTAAGAGTGTGTTTACACTGGACTTCAGGAAGAAATGTATCACTATTAGACTGTGGTCTTTAAGGTAGGATGTAAATATTCAATGCTGATAAGGATTTTCTCATGTAGAAACAATATTATAAAGTGTAAGTAATTTTATAAAGATAATATTTCTAATTTTCAGATCAATAATGTAAGGTAAACTGAATTATTTAAAATTACTCAAAGCTTTGAAACCACATAATTTTTACAACAGAACTATTGGAGATGCCAGTTTTCAAATGAAATATGTAACTGTTCATGTTTTATTCAGGGTTTTTTTTACTAGAACAATACATCACAGCAATTTTTTAATACATTCTGGTTTTGAAAATTGTCGTGTAATTTTACTGCTCTTAAAAGTGGTGAGACTTCTTCAGGGAGAGAAGCCAATTATCACATACAGTCCATAAGTTTACATGGTGTGTTATTGACCCATTATTGACTCCACTCCACTCCACTGTGGAGCAGGTTTGAGAAGCTTACTACAGCTTTCTTCACTGTGCATTTCAGCAACAGAAGTTTCACAATCCAGACAGGCATTGAGGACCTCGACAGGGCAAGCAAGGCTTTTGTTTGCTCAGTCTTTTCTTCTGAAAAACAAATTTAATACATATGTAACATATGTTTTGTATCCAAAATAAGTTGTTAATGCAAGAGAGTTTTTGACTGCAGAAGCTTCATATTTGTCATCTCTTCATGTCAGCTGGTATCCTTAATAATTAGAAAGGGCATTGAAGAATATAAGCTCAAATGTATGCCAGTCTATGTAACTCTTGCCATATAAATCTTCCAAAATACATGCTGCTTTCAAATGTTTTTTTGCAGTTAAAAAGAAAACAAAGCTAAAAATATATAAATCAATACATGTGTACAATGTAACATTAGGTGCAATTGAGACCAGACACCATTTTGATACTTCTACAGTTGCTACTACTTTTTGTTCAACATATCAAATGACTGTTTAAATTTATAAAACATTGTCTGAAGAAAATAAATACTGTTGTAATCAATTGGTTTAGTTATATTTGTTTCATATTGAATGTATGACTGTATTTTCAATTGTGATTCAAAAATGAAAACAGAAGAATTCAAATAAGAGATAAAACACTAATACAGAAGTACTATCTAAGTGTCGTCAGTGGAATTTTCTAGATTAAAAAAAATCTGTTTTCTTTCTCTTATTTGGCAGCTTCAAAATATTCTTTAAGATGTTTTTAATTAAAGCAACAATCCTCCTTTTTTTCTCTTTCCCAGGCTCTAGGTCTTATGCTTTTGACATTTGACCTGTGGCTTTTATTCAAGAGAAACAATTTATTCAGTGTGTTATGTGAGTATAAATAGAATTTTTCATTTGTTTTAAATAATTTGTTTTTAAAAAATGCCCCATCCTTCTAAGTGTTCAAGTTCATGCTGGATGGGGCTTTGAGCAATCTTTCTAGTGGAAAGTGTCCCTGCCCATGGGAAGGATGTTGAATCTAGGTGATCTCTAATGTCCCTTCCAACCCAAACCGTTTTATTGCATGGCTCTCTGTAATCAACAGAAACAGTAATAGATTTTCGTTTTCACAAGGTGGCAGTATTGGATTGAACTGCATAGTTGTAGGGTTTTTTTCTGTTGAGTATATTTTCCATCATTAGACAGTATGATTATCAAAATAGGAGAAAACATATATTGTTATAACTACAATTTATATATTCTTATACTTTATGCAATTTAATTATTTCTCCTGATGGAAAGCTTATAGATGAATCACTGAAAAATAAATCAGCTTTTTTCATCTTTTCTGCATTTGACCTGCATTTGGCAAGATTATAGATACTTTAAGTAAATATTTAGATCGAATGAATAAAAGTTTAAGAACTTGGGCCTCTCCATATGGACATTGCTTTTTCCGAGAGTGTCTATCAATTTTTTTCACAGAAAAGTAAGTTTTGGGTCACATAATACCAGCTGTGCTCTTAAAGGTTTGACTACCTTGGCAATGTTGAGAAGCATCAGTGCAGTAATTCTGGTACAAAGCATTTGAGCTGGAAGTAATAAAAAACCCAGCTACTTCCCATATCTATGGAAAAATGGTTGAATTGGAAAGGAGAAAGTGGCCAGTCACAAAGAGGCTGAATCTGAGCCTCAATTTGATGAGAACGATTTCTGTATCCCCATAGAATTTGCATATGTGATAATAATTTTTGGAAAACAAAAAAAATCTGTAAACTTGTAATTATTTTCTGATTTCATTTTGAGTGGTTCACATTGTTCAGTTGAGAATGTTCTGTTTGCATCTCATATGTTGTTACCATCATCTGAATTTATGAAAATATATCTTTTTCTCTCTGTGACTGCAGGTATAAATAATAATACTACTCTTCTATCATTCTACTATTTCCATCCTTTCAGTAATGGCATTGAAAATACTTAAATGTTTTTCTGGAATAAGTTTTGTAAGTGGAAGTCTCAGGAAAAAAAAAAAACAAAGGAAAAACGTAATAGTATAAATGCACTGTGTTACAGTTTCTTTGGGGAAAACCAACTAGTGACATATATTTCTTGTGTATTACTTGGCATTGGATCTGTTATTACTTTTACATCAACCATGGGATTCCTTGGAAGTACTGTGGAAATCAAATGTCTACTTATTATACTAAGTGTAAATCAGTCTCCAACTTTCTTGTAAAATGAAAGGGAATTTTGCATGCATGAAAAATGTGATCCTGTCTTGATGTGATTTCCAGACACAGCACTTAACAAATGTGCTGATAGAAAGACATATTTAGATAAAGTCCTGGCTCAGATGAAATCTCAACAAAATTGAACACCTTTCCATATCCCTGCATGGAAGTTTTCAATGACAAAGGTTCAATGTTCACTATGTGTTGAAGAAATAAAGAAAAGCCTACTCCAGAATATTGCAGCTTGAAGGTACAGGTAGCTACAGTATGGCTACCATATTGAAACAGCAAACTATGATTAAAAATTTGTTACCTATGTAGACCTACTTGGAGACTCCATATTTATATAGAATTCCTGCTTTTTTAAGGGAAGAACACTTGGATTTCTGAAAGATTGCACTGTAACTATATATTCTTATATCACTTTGATTACATATTTTTCCTCTGTCTTTTGTTTATTGTCATCCCTTTTGAATGATCTGTTTTAGGCTGCGAAGGCTGAAGCAATGAACAGTGTTACTGATTCATTTGTTAAGCACTACAATATTCATCATTAATATTCAATATTTTGTACAACAAAGAGAGGACTCCAGCTGCAATAACCAGGAACCTTGTTCCTTCTTCCTTCCTAATACTGCCTAGGCATGTAGTGCTTACCTCACAATTTATTAGACAATGAAAGAAAAAAGTGTCTCATTTCCAACCTTCATGAAACCATCTAGTATCACAATATCTAGATAATGTAGGTGAAAATTTGTTATCAGTGAAAATGAGCAAAATCAACTATCTTTTTATTTTGATTTTGTGCCTTATAGCTCAAAGGAGTCCTTAAATAGGTATGAGGTTTAGATACCATTATAATGGGAATAAAGAAATAAGAATTTTCTTCAGTAAAGCACAGATGCTTAACAACAGCTTTTGTTCTTCACTTCCAAGGCAGTTATGGTTACATCTTTAAGCCCAAAACAGTGAGCTGTGCTTTGCCTGAAGCCTGCCTCTTAGATGGTGACGTCACTTTCTGGAGGTTTCCAGGAAAAAAAAAATCTTACTTTTCTTGGAATCACTCTAAATAATAGTCACAAACGATTATACATGAGCTTCTGGAAATTTTATTGTATTTCTCACTTTTTCAAAATAACTTTTGGCTTTTTTTCCAGTATATGGGTTTTCAAATGCTGGTGTTGGTTAGCCAGATAGCAATATTGGTGCTGATAAGTATGAAGAAAGAAGAGGTATGTACATAAAATTATGTGAGACTACTGATAATTTCAAATTTTTTTCTTTCAATTACTTAAAAATACCTAATAATTCTTACTGTATACTGTATTATCATTTGATTTAAATTGAGCATTCTACATGTTGACCAGGAATAGCAGAACATGTGGAAAACTTAATTTCAGGAATTGAGTATAATTCAATATAGTAAAGCGGAGAGCATGGAAATATATTTCCAATTTCTCTGCTGTAAAATAACCCTACTCTTCCTATTCAGAAATGTGGAATCAGCAGTGGAAGGGACAACTTTATTCCTTATTAAAGGACGACCCAGGAAGTTCTTCTTTCCTAGGGATTAGCAGGGATGGAAGAAAGCATTTCATGCTAAGCTGTGTCTGCTAGCAGGTGACAGCAGTAGTCCCTTGTGCAATTGATAGTAGAAGCTATTGGTATCATGGCATGCAAAGTATACTAATGAATTACTAACTTTATTTTTTAACCTGTATTTTAACTACAAGCAGAGATCTAATCTAGGGAACATGCATCTTTGGTTTTAACAACAGGAAGCGACAAAAATACCAACATAGCTGTTGTCAATAGAAACTGTTCCACTTTAAAGCTTTATTCAGTCATTTATTTTTCTACATATAGCAACTCCAATAGCTTAAGCAGTCCTCACAGTATTTTATGGAGGGTAATCTGTACTGAATCTCTACTGGTCTGACTACTTCTGTATTCTATAATTTAAAAATCTATGGTTTAAAGAAACCTCCAGTGACAGTGTTCTCATAAGGTCCATGCAGTTCTTCAAAGTCTGCTGCTATTCAGGCAAAGTACAGCACAAATAAATTAGTTTTACTCCTTCAAAGTGCATCTGTATCATCAACATTTCTCTATTAAATGTTGATTTATAATGATGGAATCTTGTCTGTTTTATATGATGGGTTTACATATTGAAATATTTGAACTTTCAGGAGTGATGCGTTCTGGAGTCAGCTATTTACACTAAGAAAAATTGATTGAAAGTTTGCAGTTAAATTATTTTATATCAACATTGATTGCACTTGATCTCAACCTTAATTAAGGGTTACTGAATTATAATAAATGATGGGTACATCACCATTCACTCTGCAAACTTTTGAGTTTTGTTTTTAGTATGGCTGTGGTAAGAGAAATGAGTTGGTGAAGGCTGATTTCTTTCTTGTTTTAAAGGCACCTTTCAGTGGCCTAGGAGTTCTCCTCTGCATGTGTTCTGCATGCATGCTACAGTCTCTATAATCACACTCTTTGTGATCAGCTTCTCCACTTCAATTACTGTTGAAGGTGTATTTTAATAGTCTCAGCAAAGATGTCTAATCTAGGACCAATGTAAGCTATTAACTCCTCTAGCCCAAAGCAATACATGTCCTGGCCAGATTCCATGGTGCTCATATAAATTTGTATCGTATTAGGTCTAGAATCAACTTTGGTTTTATCCTTTTTGTTATATGGTGCTGTTCTTATTAAAAAGAAGTGTGTGAAGTCGGATTTAGTATTTCAGGATTTTGAAGAACTTGTCAGTTTATATAGGAGATGACAGTTCTGGTCACTGAAGTTTCCTGCAAATGAAAAAACTGATGGGTGTTCTAGCATCTTTTACTGTGCTAGATACCATAAAACACTTGATCTGCTTAGGTCTCAAGACTGATGTGAACCATGGACAAGAATAAGGTCAAAATAGAGCTCCTAATGTGAGAGCGTTTAAATAGCTATTGCACTGAGACTCTCTCAGAAATAATGCTTAAAGTCTAAAATGAGCTTGCAAATCAGTACTTTCAATACATATACTAAATTATTAATCATAATACTTTTTTTACCTGCCAGAAGGCAATTTGTTTCCTTTTTTTAGAAAATTCCCTGAAAGCACTTGGATGGTATCAATTGTTTTGGAATTTGTTAGCAATGTTTTTGACCAGTGGTCTGCTATCAACCTTTAAAATTAATCCTCCATTATGACGTTTTAATTAGAAACACTACAGCTCAACAGTTTAATATGCTTTAGTATGCTTCTATAGATCAGCTGTGAGTCCTTTAATATGACTTCTTGCAGAGGTGAGTTACACTGTTTTTAATGACTGTTGAAGATAATTTATGATTCCAGATAACTCACAAAGCATGTATCTCTAGTCTCAAAATTAAAAATGTATTTGTAATGTATTTTTAAAATCTGTTCTTTGAAAATCCATTCATTGCATTCATGATTTTTCAAGTGATTAATGCTGACCCCATTATGTCAGTGGTGCAACTAGACTATGTGCTAGTATACTTGACCAATTTTATTGAACTGTTGTAGGAGCACAGAATTCAGAAAGCTGTGTACTCACCACCCACCCAGGTCTGCACGTTTAAATTGTGTCAGATCTCAAAGTAGTGGATATTTTGCTGCTGAAATTGTTGGTATCTGCCATGAGAAAAATAAAAAGCCTAAGTTCGTAAGTAGTGTTAAAGAAGAACTGTATTTTATATATTTTCAATTATATTTAATGTACTCCTTAAAGCTGGTGACTATTTAACTGAACTCATAGAGTTGTTGAAATGGAATATTTATAGAAAGAAAGGACATCTTTGGCTAAGTTATCTAATTTTCAAAATTCAGCAGTAGTATATCTTGAATTGAATCTTCAAAAAATGAGATGTTTTTCTTTAGCATCTATGTGCTAAACTATAGAGGACTTTTCATCCCAAAAAACAATTCAAAGATTTCTTAAGTTTCATCCCGATTCAGAATGAAAATCTCCTGGAATTTCTTATATGAAAAGAATTCCATTCTCCAAGCTGTTTTATATTGTAGTTTGGTTTTATGTTACTGATGTTGAAATAGATTATTGGGAAGATCTAACTGGCAATCCTTTTGAACAGGGTACAGTATTCGCTTTGTGCTTCAAGTTTGAGCTATGTGTTCACAAAAGATCAGTTGTTGCTAAAACATGAGTTGGAATAGGGGAATTTACTAATCTCTCTCTTGGAGGGGAGAATTTTTGCAAATATGATGTTAAAATGGACAAAGGTATACATAAATGTTTTCAAAATCTGGTCCTTGTTGAAGTTGCTAGATCTGCATAGAACAGTGTCTGTGTTTTTATTTTTATCATATATTTTATAAAATTTGTCTCCATTTACTGCATTCATTATGAAACCATGTTCATTGTGCTTTTCCCCATAGTATATAGTTTTATTTATTCTTTTAGTTGTACTGCACAGTTAGCACTTCCTTAGTCTATCTTAATGCTTACACACAATTTCTACACTGAAATTACTTTTTGAGGCTAAGAGTTATTGTCAAAATGTTTTACTTTATTCTGGATTTGTAATTATTTTTGCTTTTTATTTTTATGTGTAATAGAATAATTTAGAGTCTAAAAGAAAGTTCATAGAATCATAGAATCATAGAATGGTCTGAATTGGAAGGGACCTTCAATATCATCTAGATCCAACCACCCTTCTGTGGACAGGGACACTTTCCACTAGACGAGGTTGCTCAGAGCTCTACCCATCATGGCCTTGAACGCTTCCAGGCATCCACAACTCATCATACCACAGAGAAAGTTCTATATATTTTTAAAGTATGTTCTTATAAAGATGCAGTATGATTTCCAAAGTTGACATGATTTTTCTTGACATCTGTTCATCTGTTCTTGCTTAGGGATGTGAAGAATATTGAAATACATGGTTTGAAAACAATGTTCTTAACTGCAGTTGCTATCAGCCTACTAATTACACAGGTAAGAGTACTTTTAAGTAAAAAAAAAACACTCACAAAATACTGATACCCTACTAGTAGTAAAAATTCAGTGCCATTTGGCTTTGGTATGCTCTCCAAAACTTTGTAAAGCTTTCCATCATTTTTCTTCAGAAGTATGATCAAGCATTGTTTACCAACAAGCTCCCATATATTCAATTCCCATTCAGTCTGTGGAATGAACTGTTTGACCAGACTTGTGAAAGCAAACAGCATAGCAAGGACAGGAAGTGGTTAAAGAGAATGTAAAACCTCTGGAGAAAAAGACCTCTTTTGTCCTTTATTTGTACAGAACATACATAAGTATGTTAAAGAGTACAAAACCATGAAACCTCACCTCCCACATACCTATGAGAAAATTTTATTGGGTAGAAAGAAATAAAGCTTCCAATATTAAAACAAAATCATGTGAATAATGGCAAAACGAATTGATTGTTCATTCCACCGATACCCTGAAGGTTAAGTGACATCAAGAAGGCAGAAGGATTTTTGATAATATCTAAAATTGTGAGGTTGAATATGAAATTAGTGCATTTTTGCTCAGAAAATTATAAGTATGACCTATTTTACCTCTTCCATATATAGTACCTTCCCATAGATGCATGTAGTAGAAACATTCTGACTATGGAGTGAACCAGTTCAATAATGAAAAATGGTCCTCAGTGTACACATTCTTGTCAGATGGGAAAGAACTTTTATCCCTGTTCAAGAGCTAAGACCAAGAATCACAGAATCATAGAAACCTTTTGTTTGGAAAAGACCTTTAAGATTATTGAATCCAAACACATTTGGATTCATAGGGTACTGAAATTGAAACTGGAACTTCACTGAATTATGTACTACTTGAAATAGATTTCAAGATACTTCTATGAGTGGTGACACAGCAAGTCTTGCCAGAGCAGAAAATTCAGCTTGTGTCTTCAGACACATGTCCTGATCATTCTCCTTTATATCCTCTGCATTGTCATTCATAGGAGCCAGGTTAGAAGTCAGATTGACTCAGTCATAAGTGAGTATCAACACTTTCTTTGTTGTTTTTAACTCACTCCTTTTCCTTTCTCAGATTTTTTTGATCACACTTACTCATCGGCTGTTTAGAAACATCAGAAAGAATAATATTTGACCAAATGAATCATGAACTCTTCTACATGTTGCTGTGGTGCCAGAATTCTCTGATTGATTTCTGTGACAGTCAACAAAATTACTTCCACTAAAATTTGGATCAGACTCTACGTATTGCAAATCACAATGATATCAACATTTGAACTTTAATATGTTTAGCCTTTGTTTATGACTATTGATATGGTAGTATTTGACAAAATTATGTGTGTTAAAGTCTGAAGTACTATGCTATTTACTAGCTGGTTAATAAATCTTCCTGATAAGCTGAATATTAGTTTCCTGAGTCTCTGGAACAATTTGTTTAGAGTGTTGTAAATAGTACAGTACAGTATACTGCTCTTTGAAACAGAAGGACCCCTTTATCAGATTTGGTTGAGAAAAAAATTAGTAAACATTGCTTCTTTTAGCCTTTACCTTTTCTTCCAGTCCTTTTCTTTTGTCCTTGTCTGTTGTGTAATTCAATCTCAAAAGATTTCACTGAGTCATGTAAGTATTGGAATCCCCAGGTCTTTTCCAAGAAGTGTGGTAGTAGACAACTTTTGTTCTCCCTAAATACTTCTTACCTTTAATTTAATAAAATTACTTTAGTGTTTTAAAGTGAACTGAGTTTGAAACTCTAAAACATTCTTTATCCCCTGAGCAATGAGGTGACCTGAAACATCTTGAGAACTGAGGAAGGTGTGGTATTACAACTGTAGGTGGTAGCATTGTTTATTTTTTCTCTAAAACTTCCCTTTCAGTAATCCATTTTCTGATACTTATAAATTTGGTAACTTCATTGTATTTAGAATGAAAAGAATGACATTTCAAATGCCTGTCACAGTCTGATTTGTTTTATTTAGAAAACTTAAAATACAAGAAATGTGTAAATTCAGAGGGGAATGGCACGCTTAGAACAGAATCTGAATTCCAGACTTTTATTTCTTATTCTTCCATCAGTAGAAACCTAAGGAACTCAGCAATAAAGTCTCTCATCATCGTTTCTCTGCAGCTATCAGGAATCTTCCCCAGCTCCTTGAAGATGATAGAAGATGATTACTCAGTGATATGAACAAGGTCCATAGGGATCCATGGACTGTAAATGTCCTACCTGTTGAAGAGCTCTAGTGTCTTGTACTATGGGTTATTCTCCCCTCCTTCAAGACCCTCCTACTAGGCTCAGTGACCTGAGATATCTGAGGAGGAACGCTGCCTGTACCTCAACCTTTCCATGCTCTTTATCACAAGGTTCCCCACGCTTTTAAGCAATGGGTTCACATTTTTCTTAAACTTCCTTTTGCTGTCTGTTTACTTACAGAAGCTTTTCTTATTACTGTTCACCTCCCTCAATAGTTTCAACTCCAGTTGAGCACTGCCTTTCCTTCATCCATTCCTGATGCTTGGGCAGTGTCTCTCTTGTCCTCCTGGGTAGCCCATTGTCATTTCTACTTTCTGTATTTTTGTGTTTGAGATCTGTACCCAGTTATCAAAATTTGTTGTTTGAGACAAGTGGACCATTCTCCACACTAACCTTCTGCCATGCTTGCTCAGCTATATGCACATCAGCTCAGATAGTTCTTGCACTCTGAGGAGGTTGTACTAGCAAATCAGCCAGCTCTTTGAGGCCCCTTGGCGCTTCAGGGTAGTCTCACATATCATTCTGCCAAACAGATAGCAGATAATCACTTGCTCACTTATTTTAGAATTTTACAGTCCATGGACTCATTATCATTGCAGATGAGATGCTTCACCTTTGTGTTTTCAACCAATTCCACCTTGTTTGTGAGTAACAGAAACAGCAGATCATCTTGTCTAACTGGATTGTTGACCACGTACATCAATCCAGTATTGGTAACAGACTCCAGAAATCTCCTGGGTTACTTACACCAAGCCATAGATTGCTGCATTGATTTGTCTTCTGATCCTTTACTAACATGAAAATATGAAAGAAAAAAGTAACATGAGAACAGCTTTTTTTTTTTTAGTGAATCGAGCTTTCTAGATCTTTTTAATAATCAGTAGCCAAGCTCCTTTTCTCCATTCTTATAAAAATATTTAGAATTCCAAAAAGACTACAGTAAATAATATCCTTTTTGCTTTAACAGATGTAGTGACATTAACATAGATCTCAGTGATCTAAAGATATTTCAAAATGAAAGGTGACCTTTCTTTCTTTGAAGAACATTCTTAAGCCTCAGTTATGTTGAACACTGCAGACAGTCTTGCACAATGCTTTGATCACAGAACTTATGGTATATATCCTTTATGACAATAAGGTGATTAGAATTATCTGTATATTTCATATTTGTAAAAGAAAACTTCCCAACTAGATTTCCATCATATATTTTCCCCTGGAAACAATACATGTTTACAGTTCAATTTTTCCCAAGTCTGAACTGTTTTAACTAAATCAAATTTGTATAATATTGACTTAAATAAAGAATTTCCAATAATTAAATATCAATATTTAATTATAGATCAGGCAGATAAAGCATTTCAATATCCTGGAAAGACATGATTATTTTCCCCCTGCAACTTACTGGAATTTGGGTTTCCATATGCGACCTCTTAAAATACTTCTGTCTGCAAAAAAAAAAAAATCAGTCTTCTCATTCACTGGCAGTTTCAAAATCTTGAACTATTGGGAAGTAACTATAAAATTAGTCTAACTCTACCCAAATACAACTCCATTCCAGTGTACCCAGAGATCATGAAGTGCAGGGTGAACTTAAGGGGCCTTGCAGGGTAGGCAAAGGACACAACAACTTTGGAGGAACATATTTCTAATATTAGGCATTTATGATGTCCATGAGAAGTGCAGGGAAGTGTACCTCACCTCTTTTTTGTTGAATGTAGGATAAGGAATATAATGATATCTTAAATGGCTGGATGGTGCAACATCTATCCTCTTTGCTGTATTTCTTTTCTGTATGAGGTCTTATGTTTCTAATCAAGGGTATATTTATGTAGCAGTCCTTCCTCTAAGGGACTTTCTCCTATCCTCAGTCATCTGTTTTCATTACTGTAGGAGGAACATTAAGATTTTCTAACCTTTCAAACCTTCCTCTGGCAAATCTGCTTAAGAGTGGCAAGAGACACAAAAGGTCTGGAGAAGGAAGGACAGATAGACACTCAGGCAATGATATGTCTGCCTATGCATGCATGCACACCTGTGCCCATATGCATTCACACAGGCATACCATTACAGCACGGCTATGCAAGCAGGTCTCATCCTCCTAAGAAATGGCAGTGAAAAATTAGATTGTTAGCACATGTCCTAAATTTGCTGCTCTGTACCTCTACATGACATGATTTCCACACTCATTACACTGGTTTATGACTGTATGTAGACAGCTTGAAATACTAATACTAGAAAGGAAACTATTCTTTTACATTACTTCTGAGAGATAGCTGTATGCACTAATAATTTTCAAATCCTCAACATAATCTCAGGAATTTCAATTATCTGTGGAAGTTTACAATAGATAAGAGTCTGACTCATATAGTAGAAAGAAGTGATATTTTAGAGAAACTAAAATTAACAGTTAGTCCAATATTTTAAAAGCAAATAGCAGACTCACTGGTATTCTCTTTCCAAAGTGCTGTGTCATGTCACTGCTAAAGACCACGGATTTCTTAGCAATTCTTGCTTCAATGCCCTAGCTCAAAACCTCCAGGTGGTGATTTTTTTTTTCTCTACGAGTACTTTTTATGTTTTGCAGAAATAAAAACCACAAATGCAAAATCTAAGAGCAAACATATTTAGAATGTTGGCATGGCTCTGAAACATGAAGAGAAAAATAGCCACTGGAATATTTCTCCATGTTTATTTATAGCCTTCTCAATTTCCTGTCCCTCAAAGGCATGTTGATTTAAAGTGCATCATGAATATATAAGGATGTATCTTTCAAATAATGCTGTAGTTGGCTTATTTGCATTGCATGCATTTTATTGCATCCTGTATAGCTCTAAAAGCCAAAGAGGAATTCTTCAGGAAGAGAAAGGCCAGGTTCTTCTTTACCTCACACCAGCTCACATGGGTCTTACTTACTCCACTGCGTTTAGTGGTGTTCCTCAAGATGGAAGATAGCGTTAGCAAGAACAAATCCTGAATACTGCCTTCATCTATAACAATAGATGAAGATTCATGTGTCAAAATGTGATGAGAACTCCTTTAGACTGTATTTCCTATAAAATATATCATGTAATATACTGAATGGTATATGTATATATAGGATAAACTATTGGGAGGATTATGAGAAATGTAAATGGAAAGGAAAATGTTAAGCTAAAAAAGTTATTCAAGACCACCCATAGGTGAATCTTGATTTAGAAATAAAGTGTTGAAATCAGCTTTGCAGTGCTATACTTGAGACAGAGACTCAGAAATTCTTGGTTCGTTTTTCTTCTCTGACACTGACATATTGGATCATTGTTGGCAAACCTTTTCATCTCTTATTGGTCTAAATCCCCCAACTGGAATAAGAACACTTCCTTTTTTTCTTCATTTGACATATTTGTTTCAAATTTTATGCCTTTTGGATATAGGTCTTGCTTTTTAACTCTGTATATTTGTGTAGTGGTCTTTGTTGGGAGTCACTGAGCACTACTGTAATAAATAATAGTTTCACTGTTACTAATAAGGTTACTTGAGTCTGGTAATCCAATGGTAAAAGTCAAAATTCACATGCTAGGATCACAATAAAGTAATTTATAAAATTGAAGCAAAGCTGCCTAAAATCCAGCCATCAGCAGGCTGTGTCTGCTCCTATTAGCAACAATCAGTGCTTCTGCTCTCTAGCAATGAGAAAGGTGTTCAGTTCTTTTGTTGAAGCCAGTTAAATCCAGACAAGGGCCAGACAGCTTCATCTACAGATTTGTATAAAGCTTATACCATCAATAGTAATTCCAGTCTAAAAAGACACAAGTTTGGATAGCATTTCTGTTTATATTAACAAGGTATTTCTACAAAATGCACTTTACTACTGTATTGCTAGGGGTAATGTCTGTAGGTATTGTCATTAGTATGTGGCAGAG